CATACGAAATATTAAACTTTTTGCGCATGCTTGCCAACACAAAGGATGCCAAACCAAGGACTTGTCACCTAATTATGTGAAGTTGTGTGGTATGCAGAGAAGTTTCAAACTTCATGCAATACCATCTCTCGTTGCATAGCAGAAGAATTTTGGTGAATTCCTTCACAAGTCACTAGAGCTGATAATGTGTAGAGCGGAGGAGAGTGACATAGGCTGTCACCTCAATCTGTGTGCAAACTTCACTCATGGTGTGTGTGGTGGTGACCTGGCAACGGACCTGGTGCCGGTGTGTGGGGGGAAGGTGTGTCAATTTCCAACAGGTGTCTGTCTGTCCTTCTTGGCTTCACAACTACATTGCGATGTACCTGCCTACCATTCTAGCACTAGAACTCCTCTGACAGAGTCGGCTGCATGCTCGAACTTTTAATTACTCCGGTTTAGTGCATTGGCAGAGATTGCAGTTTTAGCTCACAGTTTACCTACAAAGACAGAAGAGCAGAGTGGTTAATTGGGCTTCAATATTACTGCACGAAAACACAACCATAACGACTTACTTGTAGGACTAACACGTGCAGGCGGGTGCACAGTGTCTTTGTCAATCACCAAATTTTTTAACTGCCACCAAAAGTATATGAACTCCTTTAGTTAGCGTGAGAGGATGAATGTATTATGTAGCTTCCTACGTACTACAAAAATGTATCAAAGTTGGAGCTATGAATAAAGTCAAAGGTAGCTACCGGATGAAAGCAAGGCACTCACTGTCAGAGTTCTTTGTGAACTCAGCCACAGGCCAAGTGGAAACCTACCTCACAAACAAGTCACTGTGACTTCTGTATTCGGGTCAACCTCTTGGCAATATTCACGGTCACCAGGCAATTCATGCTATAGATCTGAATGGAAAGTATTCTACTGTCAACAGTGTTGGCAGGTACCTGCTCTAAGTGTGTGGGGAAAAATGGAGGGGGCACAAGAGGAAAATGATCTAATCTGACATAAAAGATGTTGTGTTTTGAGGCCATCAGTAGTTCAGGCGATTTTTGGCAAACGGTCCTTGGAGCTGGAAACAGGTAGTGACTTGGCATATTCCACAATCTTTATGCGTCATGATCCAGCTGGTTGGCAGCCCAAACTGTGTACTTTTATATAATTATACTAATGCTGCAGGATGTCTTAGAGTTGTCGTGAAGTACTTAGAGGTACTTTCAGTCATGTATTGTGGCTTTGATAAGAAGCATCATACTTATCACTTTTAGTGTATGTGAGGGTAGGGTACCTATCTCGCCTCTATCTAACCTTTTCCCTATCTCGCCTCTATCTCACTATCCTGAATCTCGCCATCTCTTTGTTCAGTGCATAATGTCTACTGTGGTGTATGTATGTATGTATGTATGTATGTATCTGTGAAGATACGACAGACTGCTGAGTGGCCTCAAGTCCAGTGGGGGCGGAGTCTCTCCTGGAATGGGCGTGGTGGCGTGGGTGTGGTTGGGGAGGAGATAATGAGAGGCGTGACATCTGAATACCAACATGGAAGGGTAAAATATTATGTATACACAATGTATGGTTAGTTGCATACTTCGCATTATCCAGGATAATGCTGCATGCATGCTGTTTAGCTTCAAACGTAGTACGCTCGCGCAGCATGCGTAACACGCAAGAAATTGTGGACGTGTCAGCAAACTGACCAATCAGATTGCGCTATGCATTATGATTTCATAGTCCAAAGTATTCAAAGTTTAATCAACCTGCTCCACCTTCTCCTCCTCCTCTCGTGATCCCCAGTGTCCAGTGACCAAGAGCAGTGTCCTGGTGTGCTGGCTGGGGCACGAGTCACTGCAGGCTCAGTGTTTGAAGCTGATCACGCAGCTGTGGTCTCACGGGGTGGCAGCTGACTTGGTATACGAGAACCAGGAGCTAGACTCCCTGGAAGACATTCAGGTAGTTCACACCACCTGCTACATGTGGTACCAAACATTGGAAGGAGAAAAACTTGTGTATAGATGTAGAATGGGAATCGGACATAAGGTGTTATATTTCGTGATGGCTTACATGAAGAACCTACCAAAATTTTGGTAGCAAACGCAAATTTCGCGGGGCAATGTGTTATGCATAAGAGCTATGGAAAGGAGTTCCCTACCACGTAATGGGATAAGAGCTAAAATATGTGCGAAACAAGTTTGTGTCCTACAAATTGGTAATAGGATAGTGATTCATATGAAATCAGAAGATTGTTCTAGTGTATTGCTACATCTGGAAACTTGAGGTGGCGATGCATGTCAGATTCACTAGAAGGCAGATACTCGCACTGCAACTTGTGCTGCACATTATGGAACCCCACCGAATGTATTGTACTGATGGGATACCAGATGTACACTTGGCAACCCAGTTGCAGACAAACAGGCTAAATCCAGCTCAGCAAAGTCATCCTTTATTCAACGCTACCGGTACTAATGGACATGCTTAAGGCTCTCTGGCTCGTTATATACATACATACTCCATATGGTTATATTGGCTTGCATGCCATAGGTTTCAGTCAGGAATGAGAGTAGGCATTTGGAATGCAAAGTGCGCGAACTCGATTATGAAGGCAATACTAGAATTTTAGAGGAGTCTATGAAGATGAGCAGCAGTAGGTATATATAATTGGCACACTCAGTAGCTGAAAAAGAAAACTGTACCACAACTCCTCTTACTCACAAACACACAATTTGACAACCGTATGCCTGTGTAAAGGTCTGTGCACGTGGAAAGAGAGCAATACCAAAGGACCGAGTTAGTTGCAGCTATAGAATTGTAGAATTCAGAACGGCACTGAAAGAGAACAGACAGTTGTTTACGATAGAGCGCCCACCACAAAGGGTTCCACTCACAGTTCACATACAGTAGTATTGAAATCATGAGAGCCGGCATTCTTCACTTATGGGGGATCCGTGCTTCGTGCAGATACGGCTGACGATATCCGAGTCCAATAATAGCTTGAGAGACATAACCCTTCTCTCCCAGGAATTCTGCCGCCGGAGTCTGATACACGCACATCGTGTTGTGGAGTGACAAGGAGCATGTTTTTTGAGAGGAGCAGGTTAGATTGAGCGTCACTGGGAGGCAACGCGGAGACGTCGGAGCTGGGCCTGGGCGTGCGGAGCTACCAGAGGTTACTCCTGAGCAGCAGAGACACATGTACGCGACCGCAGCGCACTCTCTATAGAGACTCAGACACCACCAGATCAGGCGGGAGGCCCCTCTGAGTTCAGACTGCGTTCCCTCCACGCACGACCACCGAGTCAGTGTGACTGTTTGATGCGACCTCTAAGCTGAGTGGCCCCAACAGAGAAAGATACACCTTGATGCGTGAGCCTCTCTGATTTATACTTTCTTGGTGCTGCCGCTCTGCCCCATACTAATACATAGGGACACCTCAGCCATAAGAGACACGATTTAACTCACCATACTATACACATAGGGACACCTCTCTATAAGGACACTTGGTTCTGCCCTAAACATACTAATACCTAGGGACCCTCTCTATAAGGGCCACTGGTTCCTGCCCATACTACATACATAGGACCCTCTCATAAGGACACTTGGTTCGGCCCCATACTAATACATAGGGACACCTCTCTATAAGGGACACTTGGTTCTGCCCCATACTAATACATAGGGACACCTCTCTATAAGGGACACTTGTTCTGCCCCATACTAATACATAGGGACACCTCTCTATAAGGGACACTTGGTTCTGCCCCATACTAATACATAGGACACCTCTCTATAAGGGACACTTGGTTCTGCCCCATACTATACATAGGGACACCTCTCTATAAGGGACACTTGTTCTGCCCCATACTAATACTAGGGACACCTCTCTATAAGGGACACTTGGTTCTGCCCCATACTAATACATAGGGACACTCTCTATAAGGGACACTTGGTTCTGCCCCATACTAATACATAGGGACCCCTCTCTATAAGGGACACTTGGTTCTGCCCCATACTAATACATAGGGACACCTCTCTATAAGGGACACTTGGTTCTGCCCCATACTAATACATAGGGACACCTCTCTATAAGGGACACTTGGTTCTGCCCGTACTAGTACATTAGTGTATTATATTACTTCCTAATAAAGAACACCTCTCTATAAGGGACACTTGGTTCTGCCCCATACTAATACATAGGGACACCTCTCTATAAGGGACACTTGGTTCTGCCCCATACTAATACATAGGGACACCTCTCTATAAGGGACACTTGGTTCTGCCCCATACTAATACATAGGGACACCTCTCTATAAGGGACACTTGGTTCTGCCCCATACTAATACATAGGGACACCTCTCTATAAGGGACACTTGGTTCTGCCCGTACTAGTACATTAGTGTATTATATTACTTCCTAATAAAGAACACCTCTCTATAAGGGACTACTTGGTTCTGCCCCATACTAATACATAGTGCATTCCAATTAAAGGACAACCTCTATAAGGGACACTTGGTCTCTTGTTTCTGCCCCATACTAATACATTAGTGCATTATATTACCTCCGACTAAAGGACGCCTCTGAATAAGGACACTTAAATGTCTCCAAAGTGTCCCTTATTCAGAGGTTTCACTGTACTCACTCCAACCACCCAAAATGTGAACCTTTCTAAATGCTCCACTCATTTTTTACTCTTCCAACTCTCTCCAGAGTCTACGTATATACCTATTCCCATTTCAATTTTTCTCTTAGACTCTGACAAAGCTGCTGCCATTGCTGGAGACGTTTCCCTCCAAACAGCCTCTGGAGATATTGGTGGTGGGTGTATACAGTGGCTGAGACCCTGTATGTCTTGATACGCATGATAATACGTGGAATACTTTGCTCGAATGTCAAGTAAATGCTTGTAGAATTTGAACTGTTCACATGATTTTCATGCCGGTTGAAAGATTGGATTGAGTATAGTTAACCCTCGGTGCGCATGCGCAGCGAGGGTTACAGTACTTGGATCTGCGTGTCTGTGTGTCTGTTACTCTATATCTCACTCCTCGAACGTCTGTTCGTCCCAGGAACGATACCATCTACCCAACGGGCGACGAAGGTCAGAAAATAAAGGCGGTTTTCTCTGAAAATGCTCCGTTGCAAAGCTAGAGCGCGAAAAAGCCAATATGCAAATACACAACGGACGGGATGGCTTACCACAGTCGGATCGATCCGCGTGCTCTGCGTACTTCGGATGCACCAGAAGATGCAACGCAGGGCGTGTATCGCCTCTCGCATGCTATCTAGTAGTGTAGTTAGCCCGCGTCAGACTCTGCGCGAGCTGGCAAGAGACCACGAGTAACTGCTAAAACTAAACCCAGCCCATCAATTAGTGGGACGGCGCATGCGTTTACTTACGCGTGCGCGTCACAGTGCGCCGAAGGTTTGCACTTCAGTGCTTTTCATTAGTTTTGGGTAAGTGGATGACAAACTATTCCATGCATGTGTAATGTATAGGGTTTAGTGTCTGCTATATTGCATGGTGCATTTGTCCCTCTGTGTACCATCATAATGCTGGACGAATGGTATTGTTTGTGTGCGTAGGTGGACCTTAAAAGTGATGTCCTGTGTTCTTTGGCTGCGGAAGTCAATGTAAGCTCTCTCTCTATATAGCTGCTCATGATTCCTCATTTGGCGGGACGGCTAATGACAGTCCCCACACTTAAGGATCTGTTCTGAAAACTGATCCTGATTACAGGAATTTGAGTGTGTGTGTGTGTGTGCATGTGTCGCCGTTCTTGTGAAACTGTGTGTGCGTCAGTAAAGCATGACTACCGCCCAATACTTGGAATAGGGACGGTGTAGCTTCGGAACCTAGGCCTTCCTGTTTATGTCTGCGCATCATGTACATTTGGATTATGGTATACATGATGGTGGTCTTGTTAGTCTGAAGGCCGCCATGATACGCAACGCAACTTTGTTGTTGCGTGAGTTAAAATCTTATGCAGTAACGTCATTGTGTGGGTATGAAGTCTGTAGAAAAAAGAAATGGAGCCTTTTGTATTGTGTGTTGCATGGACTATCATGGGGGTAAAGTGCAATGGAGCATTGCCACACGCACGTTTCTTGGTGTGTCTTGGCCAAGATACTATAACGTAGAAGGAGTATTGGCTTGGGGATTTCGCTATGGTTGATGTTACTTCATGTAGCGATGTCCCTTTCATGTCTCTGTTTCTCTCCGTGGTTCCAGAGAAAGATATGTGGACCAGACGGCGGAGATATGGTGTCGGTTGTCAAGTCGCTCACCGAGAGGTATGCGAAATATTTACTATTCTTTATCATTTCATCCGAGATGACAAGAGCACAAGAATCTCTTCCTCACATAAGCCGTGACAATGATCTTAGTGCCAATGAATGTGTGTCGTTTCTCTCCAGACACTCGGCGCTAAACAAGAAGTACGTCACTAGAGTCTGCGAGAGTATTGAGGAACTTCTGCAGAAAAGGTGCGATATTACATGTGAAACGATATGAACCTCTCTATACTTTACGTTTTGTCGTGAGCAAAGTGAGCTGTTTGATTTTCCGCGTGTTTCACGCGCGTACCTATTTAGAACGACGTATGATGTGTGGCAGTGCCTGTACGGACAAATTTCGCATTCAGACAACGAGGTCTTGCTTCACTGGCCAATTAATTAGAACACTTTGTTTTCTTCTCCCCCTCCCCTCCTTCTCCTTCCCACTCTCTCCTTCTCCCCCCTCCCCCCTCTTCCCCTCTCTCCCTCTGCTCAGAGTGTCCATGGTATTTGTGTACAGCCACTCTTCGGAACACTGTCAGACTATTCTGAACTCTCTCGAGTCACTCGGCAACCTTCACATCACTGCTTCATGATCTCAATCATGCATGCGACATCATTGCTGTATATCACATGATCCTCACACGTTGGTCACGTGACCTCGTCCGTCACAAACATTCATAAACTGGGTCAACCAGTTCACAATGTGTGTATGATTATGATTGGATTTTATTAAATTTTTTAAATACCGCTGTGGTTAAATGTGGGTTAATCGGGAATTCTATCACTGTTTTGGTTTTAACTGTTTGTTTGTGGAGGGTTAATAAGGAATTCTTGTTATTATTAATTTTGATTACTACCCTGCTTGGTGACATGGTGTTTGTGCACATTGCAGTATACTCCAAATTCCAATGGTGCATAGTTTACTCACATAGGTGTCAATATTGTAGGCGGTGGCTAGAGTAGCTGGCTGAACACAGTCCAAACAGAATACTTAGATGGAAGTTTGATCACGATTGACATGAAATTTAATCTATAGCTGCATCCACGGGGCACCTCAATTCACTGGCTATATGGCTGCTCACCTGTAATTTGGGTGGACAGGTGTTGTTGTGAGCAGTGGATTCTGACTCAGAGGCATTCACCGTTCAGTCATAACAGAATTTGGGTTAATAATAATTGTCCTTTAAACTGCAAAAAAGGTGGCCGATCTCCAGAGTTGTCAGGCCGACTATACTGTGACTCTTGCTCACGATCTGTCTTGTATGTATGTACTTTTACTTGAGCAAATCAGATTTCAGATGTCAAGGCCTAACAGGGATTCGTAAACGATATGCTATTATGCCAGAGGATTGAATGTCTGCGCCATAAACCAATTACTTTTTCTTGCAAAATTAGTGGAGGTATCTGGTGTGGTCTTTATGCATGCAAGGGACTTGGCATGCAGTGACAGAAGTTATACGTAGCCATCTGCGCGCAGCTGGATTTTATAATCCCCGTCATCAAACGCTTATAATTATAGTTATGCCGAGAGAAAGTCCACCACACCTTGTCTTGTAACGTCCCCCTTCATTGGATCTTGGATCAAAACTTCTCTCTTATGGCGCGTGTTACTACACAGTCCGCCTCTTGGACAGTGCTGCGGAATTTACAAAATCCATTAGCAACATTTTCCCACCCTTTGAGCAGATTATGCTTTGTTGCGGAGGGAGCCAGGCAAAGTTCCTGGAAGCTGGCATCATTTCGTACCCTGCAGGAATTTGCGTGGTTTCCATGTGTGAGTGTACTATAGCCGCATGCCATTTATGCAAGAATGTATGCGTGGGACTACATACCAATACATAATACATCAGGAAGCCTTCTAACCGTGAATTCCAGTCATTGAGGCCGTCCTTGCAGATCGTGTATGCATACAAAAGCAGCTAGTGTAGGCCTACAGCTCAATCGGCACTCAACATCTGCATATTATGTATGAAAGTGCCTTTTAGCACTTCAGTAAGGGCTAGTGGGAAATCTGCAGAGCACATTGTCAAGACTGCACAGATCTGCAACTACAAGGTGAGCTGATCTAGTTTGTGCAGGTTTATTTTCATGCATGGGGCTTAGATATTTCAAGTGTCTTTCTCTGCCGCTTAGCTATAATGATGGAGGTTGGTAGCACAGCAAAGCAAAGGAGGCTGTGCTCTCTGCCACAACTGAGTTTGGTGCTGTTCTTATCACTGAGTCTGCAACTGCCAGCTGTGAGTATAGCTATGCATATGTTCTTGGCTCACAGTGATAATCGTTCTAGTTAATGACTAATGTGCAAAAGATTAGGTCTTGTAGAAGTGCTCATTCTCATTTTGAGGCATGCATCTAACCTTTGGCTTTAACTTGTTAGATGAGAATGTGTCTCAGTTGGCTTTCACTGACTGCTTCTTGTCATGTAAACTCCCCTCTACAAGCATCTTTCTGCTCCTATTTCTCCAGAGAGGCAGCTACCTGCTGGTGGCAGATTTCCACACATACAACAACTCCCTCCACTCTTTTGTAAACACATCTGCCTCGCCATTCACCACTCATTGCTGTGACGGTCGCGATGCCCCGGATTGCACCGACCCCTGCAATACCGTGCTCAATTACTGTTTCAAGGAGGTCGGGGCGGTCAATAGTTTTGCCAATGACAGCACAGTGCTCCGTGGCTGTATGACTGGCGGGGGAAGTCTGACTGAGCTGGTGGAGCGCACTGACAACATTGACTTTTCCAAACCTCCTCTGAGTGTGAGTGGCGCACCGACACGGCGCTCTCTCTCCAACAGAGGACCACTTTGGCCTGTAAGTTCCCCCTCTCCTATAGCTACTACCTACTAAATCAATTGCCCCTAGTCTTATGTAATGCTGACTCCACCCATTGCTCTGGGTGTGTGGTCTATCCCCTAGTGTTATGGCTGCCCTGTGAGAGTGAATGTGCTGCTGGAAAATAGCTTAGTGTAATAGCTAGCTATACTTTGCGGGGAACAAGAAGAGCACTTAGCCAATTGGAGCCCTGCCATTAGCTGATGTTTTAAGCACCCACTTAGCCTGTTCTTGCATGAGGCAATCGGCATATTATTATTACGTAGGCTTTTTAAGTCACATTGCCCCCCCCCCTCTCTTTTTCTGTTTTGTCCAGGGTGGAATACAATTCTTTGTACGGTCGGTGTCAGATGGCGAAATAGTGGACTATCTCTCCACCAACGTCTACCTAAACCCCGGAGAAAACCTCACAAACCGAATCCTGACCGGCGACCACTTTGAGGGGGAGCGTCACATTCACTGCCAGTTTCTATCTCACCTGCACCTTTGGCTACTATGGGGAGAACTGCAGCCTCTACTGCTGGCCTGGGAGCAGTAGAGAGGACGGTTTCTACTCGTGCAGCAGTGAAGGGGCCAGGATATGCGACGAGTACTTTGGTGGCAGCGACTGCAACATGTGTGATAATGGACTCGAGTATCCCTACTGCATACCAGGTAGCTAGCTATCTTTACACGGGCAATGGCAAGCGGGTTTAGCATGTCCAGGGAAAAGCAGGTTTAGCATCTCCAGTGGCTAATTCATTCATTTCACAGCATGGACTTTTTTAACGAAAAGAGGAATAAGAATACTGTGTAGTTGCCTCAGCAGAATCAACTTATAATCAGACAAGAACGTTAACCCTGAAATTGGCCTCTACTCTGTAAACCTCTAGATGTGTGCCTACTCCACCACCCGTGTATGGAGGGAAACTGTACAGGCACTGGGTTTGACAGCTACACATGCTCCTGCAATGACGGCTTCTACGGAGTCAACTGCAGTGATCCTGTCCCTGGTATGACTAACTTCTATCATGAGTTTAATGGGTGTTTGGAACCATTTTGGTCAGTGCCACAAAGTTAACCATTAGCTCCCCCTTTATACAATAGAACTCCAATGGGACATAAGCAAGTAAAAGGTGCCCATATTATAGAGGTTTAAGAAACTGTTTCCAGATGTGTCCTCATCTCAGTGATGTCAAGGGTTCATCTATACTACAAAATGATTAGTCCCACCGTATAACCATGCAGATATGTGCAGTCTCCTAGACCCATGTCAGGAGGGAAACTGCACCAACACCCCTCCCGAAGGCTACAGGTGCACCTGCAATGAGGGTTTCCACGGAGTGAACTGCAGCGAGGCTGAGCCAGTTCCCGGTAAGATTGATGAACCCCTGCATGCATTCACTTCCCAGTCTAATGGTTGTTGGGACTGGCTGCTCCATTAGCTACATGGTAACATGGGTGATTCATACATTCCAGGGCTTGGCTTATACTCCTGGGGTGCCCTACACTTGGCACATCAGTACGAACCCTTGTTCCATAGCGAATTACATAGTATGTGAAATATTGGTAGATTACGCAAAACAAGTGTGTTGTATACAGATAGTATGCTGCTGATGCACCGTTGTATCTAGCTAGTGAGCTTGTTACCAATGTCGCACCTAGCATGCCTTAAGTTTGTCCGTTTGGCCCTTGTCTCATTCTCTCCATGTGGATTATGTCATGAGTTTGTCTGTTAAACCCTTATGTCACTCTTTTTCTCGTTCTGTCTGTCCCGACAGATGTGGATAGGGAATTGACCTATCTGTGGCTGATAGTGGCAGGTGTGGCGGGTATACTGGCCCCGGTAGTAATCCTCTCTCCTCTCCTCCTCATCCTCTGCTTCACTTCACTCACCTCCTGGAGAAAGAAGAACAAAGGTAAGCGTGACTAAACACGCATGAAATAGTCCCACATTGTATTGCATCATTTTGCAGAAATGTTTGGCCTACAGAATGATATAATGTAAATACAAGGGTTTCGGTCAGTGATTATAGTTCCCATTCGTGTGCATAACTACAATTTCGCGGTGTTTTGGTTCAAATTGAGAGGGGCATCCCGGGCCGGGAATGAGCTGATTAGTTCTAGTCTGGGGACGTGTGAGTATGTGTAGTGAGAGAAACACGGGGCTGCCAAACCTTGCTTCCTTGTGATCTCAGAAGAGATTCATGCTTTGAGGCTGAAGCTCCATATGAATCCAGTGGAACTTTACGCACACCTGCTCATTTTTACATTTGATGCAGAATGCATGACAGGCATGAACGCTAAATTTTTTAATCTTCTGAGTGGCATGCAGCGCATTTTTTCTCTTCCAAATTTTGAGTAGGAACATTTATATGAAAGCGCAAAACAGAAGCCGGGAATAGTTTCTTAGTTCGCAAGCCCTGCATGGTAATGTGTTGTTGGAAAGGCTACGAGAGCTGACACCTGCAGCACACAGATTCCACGAGTCTATTCCATAATAGCTCATCACAGGCAAGCATACAGAACCCAGAATACATTAGCTCAACTGAGACATACAGAATCTGTTGAGCCATTCCGTTAAGAGTCTTTACCTGATACAGTGAGAATCCCTGCAAGAACATAATATCACAAAATTGAACAAAGCCTAAGCTTCACTACAGGGCTTCAGAACTGTTTTACAACATGTTCTGCAGCATAAGCTTAACAACAATAATAGGCTTCTCAACACCTGTGATTTTCAAAGCTGTAAGATAATGAATACCTGCACCTCTGGGATTTGAAACACGAAGAGCTGAACACTGAGCTTCAAAGATTGAGTTTCACAAGTGCTACCATAGGCATGTCCCTCGTGGCTTCAACCCACAGTTGTAAGAGTGCTAAACATAGCTAAACATCGGTTGGGTTAGCAAGATACCTCTAGGCTTACATGTACTGCAATATGCTTCACTCTAATGATTGTTGCTGTTTCTCCCTTCAAACAGAGTATGTCAACAACCCATTGTATGGAGATGCCTCGGCCCCTGCCAGTGTAACCGGGACCTCCAGGAGCGAGACTGGTACCGACCATTCCTTAACGGTAGAAGCGATCCACGCACAAAGCAACGGCAGCCCAGACACACTTACTCCGCCCAGAATGTCCTGCGAGGACGAGCCAAACTATGACATCATTCCCGGGGAGTCAAGCAATGCAGTGGGGACTCCAGTGAGTCTGGAGGTCCCCCCCAGCCTCGCTGGTACCTTCAAGAGCGACGACAACAGTAGCTACTACACTCTGAGCATCAGCACCAACGAATCCACCTGCCCCTATAGTTACCCCTCAGATTACGACGTCCCACCTCACCCTCCCCCTGCCCGTGGCGGGCTCACACCTGGCAGCAGCTTCAAGAGCGAGTCAAGTCACGGTTTCCTAGACACGACAGCCATCGCTGATGAGGAGTCTCAGACCTACTATAAGCACCCCATCTCTCGAGACCCTGTCACGCACGGCGATTTAGCAAATAGAAACGGTACCAATGGCGCACTATGGGTACTTGTCCCTCTCGACCAAAACCTGGCCCTAAAGCATTCTAAGACTATCGGAGGTCATCCAAGAATCGGAGTACAACACTCAAACTCATTCAAGCTGCGGTCTCGTCACCGCCACCACCACCACCATCATCATCATCATCGACGTCTGTGCAAGACTGGGAGTGCTGGAGCGTACATCTCCCCTCACCACTATCAGTACGCTCTGGAGCAGCCAAAAATGACTCCCCATGGCCGGCGACAAGGGCTACCTCCTGTTCCTCCTCACGGATTGCGCATGCACCACCTCACCAGCTCGTGTGAAGATCGCAGGGCGTTCACCCTCGGAGCCGAATCTTCTCCCAGTCACCTGAAGTTTATGAACGATCACCCGCAGTTTTTGAGCGATCACTCGCAGTTGTATGGCAGTGATTCGACTGTCGTGGGGGGCGAGATGGGTCACAGTGGGTGGAGTATGAATATGAAAGACATTACTGCACCCTTGGACGCGCCTAAAATCGTCATTGGCGATATTGATGCTCACTATGACCAAGTTCAGGACGATCCATTACCAAATTGTGTTTATGACGAGCTCGCTCCCAAGCGGACTGGCTATGAACGCTACGACGTACCCCGAAAAGATTCATCAGCATAACCAATAATTCTAGTGTGATCCACACTTTTTTTGAGTTTTTGTGTATTTGGCACCTTTTTGTTCTGCACCTATGTGTCTCTTATATTATCATCGTCACAATAATTGCCGACTGAGAATTGTGATTTGTTATAGTGGCAACATTGTATATTATTTCGGTGGGTAATAGAAGTGATACAATGGGAAGGGGTAAATGACATACAAGGTGTAGGATTGGTAATAATTGACAGGGGCAAAAGTGATAATATGTGAACAGAAAATTCAGTGGTTGAATGGTGGTGGGTTGAAAAAATAGGCAAAGTGATTGCAAACATTGGTACACCACAAAGTCAGTGCGACGACGAGATACACATAAAAACATTATGTGACGGATATAATATTGCACAGAAAGAATCTTGAAGAGAAGAGAGAGAGGGGAAAGAAACGAAGAACATGTCATAGCCTTCTCAGGTTCTTTTTGCTTCTTTTCGAGCCTGCAGTCACCTCCTTGGAAGGTCTTTTCGGACTTTTTTGTCTCTCGCACTCTCCCTCGTGCCACGACTTGAAACACCCGGAGCAGAAATCAAACTTACACTTTGGGTTCGTGCATTCTGCTCTCCGCAGATTGAGCTGTTTTGAAGAGGACCTGCACTGCGGACAGTGCCTGTGTTTGTACATGACTCTCTTTGGGACGACTGATTTAGGAGGCAGGGAAGGAGTATATCCCTGCCCGTTCTTCGCCAACAGGCGGTTTTTAGCATCTCCGAGAGGTTTTCTGTCGGAGACGAGTGCAAGTGCTGGAAATTGTTTTCCTGCGTTTTCGGTGTTTCTTTGCAGGTTCTTGGTGTAGGCTCTGATCCGAGTGTGGAGGTGGGGGAATGAGGCGATGAGTTGCGTCCATTCGTTGCACACCAGAGTTGAGCTGAGGGTGAGACGAAGGGAGGGAGGGAAAGAGAGGGAAAGCAGAGGGTGGAACAAGTGGTTGTGGAGAGAGAGAGAAGGGGTGGAAGATATACGTTACGTATTTAACACTACAACGCACATTTTCCACAGGCAAAGATAATGAGAGTTGCTGCCTTACTTGTATAGATCTGGAGGGTCAAGGTAGTCCAGTATTCGCTCTGTGAGGAGTCGATAGCCTCCATAGAAGAACCCAGACACAATGTCCTCTCCCCCCTCCAGACTCAGTTTGGGGCAGAGGGGAGTTGAGTTCGACAGACTTGTAGGTGGAGACGGGGATGTAGGGGTGGCCCCGGGGGTCAGGAAGAGCGGGGGCAGGATCTTTGGTCCGGGGCCCCGGAAGAGGCGGGATGTCAAGAGCCTTCCTTCTCTCCATGGAGGCGGGAGGTGTGACGAAAACTGACGAAACGACCGGCGGTTTTTTCATAGGAGTATCGACGGAACGGGCCATAGCCTTCCGTGCGAGGGAGATCTCTTCTGACGAAGGGCCAGCCTCTTCTGCGCTCATTCGCAGAGAAAGAGAGAGACAGTAACCGACAACACGATCCACAGTTGTTGCGCCCAAACGTGAACTTTTCCGCCAACTTTCAAATTCGATGTCGACCTTTGACCTTCAAGCCATGCGCATGCGCACCAAGACAGCCTAATGTATCTCGTTTTTAAATGCGCATGTGCAGTTGGATTTACTAGCTCACATGAATGGGGCGATAAAAAAAATTAAAACACTAGTTTAGTTTTTCGGCCCTGCACTTTCTCTCCCACTTGGCTAGGATCTTGGCCTTCCGCTGAATGTCGTCCTCTGTCAACAGTCCCTTGTCTTTCTGGATCACCAGTCTCTTCGTAGTTCCCTCCTCACCACTCACACATGCCACCACCTCCAACACTCCATTAGCATCCACGGTGAACGAAATGGGGATCTGGACCTGCCCCCTCCGTTTGGGGGGCAATCCCGGGAGCGTGAACTTCCCGAGAAGCCGATTGTTCTTTGTGTATTTCTCCTCTCCTTCGAACACCTCCACGATTGCTTTCGTCTGGTAGTCTTCATTGTTCTTGTAGACCCGCGTGTGGGAATAAGGGATGGTGGTGTTACGAGGGATTATCGTGCTCATCTTCCCACTAGCCAGCTCTATACCAAGACTGAGTGGGGTCACATCCATTAGAGTTATTCCCACTAGTCTCGGATCCTTGGTCTCGTAGGCCCGCGAGAGATTGGCCCCCTGGATAGCGGCCCCCATCGCTACGGCCTCGTCTGGGTTTATCTTCTTGCTCAGTTTCTTACCCGGGAACATCTCCTCCAGGAGCTGCTGGACTCTAACGATGCGGGTCGACCCCCCAATTAACACAGCTTCGTCAATTTCATCTGCGCTCATCCTGGCATCTTGTAGAGCCTGTTTGACCGGTTTGAGGCAGCGCTCCAGCAGCGAATGAGTTATCTCGACAAATTTCTCTCTCGACAGAGAAGAATCAAAATCTTTGCCGTTGATCAAAGCGTCCACTTCGATTGTAGCGGTCTCGGAGTGCGAGAGGTTGTGTTTCAGGACCTGACAAGCATCGCGAAGTTTCTTCATGGCTTTGGCTTTATTGTCTGTGATATCCACGCCACACTGAGCCTTCACCTCCGGGAGAAAATGCTCGACCAGCTTGTTATCAAAGTCCTGCCCGCCCAGGTTAGTGTCTCCGCTAGTACTCTTCACCTCAAATACACCTCCATCCAGAACGAGGATCGTGACGTCCAGCGTCCCTCCACCGAGGTCATAGACTAACAGGGTTTGAAGTGAGTCGTCTCCCTCTGTTTTTTCCAGTCCGTACGCCAAGGCTGCAGCTGTTGGTTCGTTGATTATTCTTGCCACCTCCAGGTCCGCGATTGTAGCTGCGTCGAGGGTCGCCTGTCGCTGCGCGTCGTTGAAGTACGCTGGAACGGTCACCACCGCCTTCTTGATCTTCCTCCCGAGGTAGTCTTCCGCGGCGTGTTTCATTTTGGCTAGCACGTAGGCCGAGACCTCTTCGGGCGTGTACAGCTGTGAGCCTATCTGGAAGGCGCAGTTCCCGCGGTGTTCGGCGAGCGAAAACGGCCAAAGTCGCAGCGATTCTTGCACGGAGGTGTCCGACCACTTGCGACCGATGACGCGTTTCGCGTCGTAAACGGCGCACTGGGGGTTTCGGGAGGCCTTGGCGCGTGCAGCCTCGCCGACAAACACGTTGTCCGAATGGAAGGAGGCCCAGGAGGGAGTCGTTCTGTTGCCCATGTTGTTGGCGATGACGCACGGTCGCCCGCCCTCCCACACGGCGACGCAAGAGAAAGTGGTCCCCAAGTCGATCCCTACAACTGGACCCACGTCTTCTTCTGACGAGAGGTCGTATTCTGGAGGATCGAGAGAGGAACCAGTGTTTTCGGGGAGTGGTGGAGGAGAAGGAGGGAGCTGACGAGACTCTGTATCGTCCGGCGAGAAGAAAAGACCTCCGCTGCTGGCCTCGTGGTGCGCTCCAGTTGGAATATCAGGTAAGATTGGTATCCCTTCCTCGTTGAAACCATGATCTTCAGGAGATTCCGGTCTCCGATTTGACTCAAGAGCATCCCCATCAAGCTCGGGAAAAGGCACTGCCATCTTTCCCCTCGCTATCAGGTCGAATAGTTAGTGTAATAGCTCTTCAATCGATTGATCACGAGTTTTGTCGACAAGGTTGTTTGCCTTTCAGCCCCACCCACCTTTACAACGCATGCGCAGTGGTGCACGTGGGCTGTGAAAATTGACCTGCGAGGGACTGTGTGTGGTGACCTGGCCAGCGAACATGTGGCACGTCTCAGAAGACGTGGTGAATCTCCTGCAGGAGGCACCGGCCACGCTGTGGCTGATTGTCTCCGTCATCCTGCTGAGTGCCTCCGTGGGGCCGGCCAAGGTCGGCGCTGTACACGACTTTACGGCCTACAGACTCCAACATCTGGATCTGCACGGAGTCAGCTATGGTATAGTCCAGTAGTACTGTGCATACGGATACTGCTTGACCGAGGCTTTAGCTTTCTATTTTCTATTTAGAGCACTCTACTACGTTTCCTATCTTGTCGTCTGATCCAGCTTCCTTATACTGTGTAGGCAAAGTATGTGGACCAAGGATTTAGATTTCCGCAGCATGATTTTTAAAAAACAAACAACATTGAAGCACAAACTTAATTTCTGAACTACATAGATACCGGACCTGTTGTGGATGTATTTACCACTACAGACACAGAGGGGACACAAACTTTGCTAACTTAGAAAATACTGCTCTTTGTAATGCCGTTGGTTTATCAACAACTTAGCCCGACTGTTGAGACTCGTATTTCTCGTCATCTCTTTCCGCAGGTTCTCGCAGTGTGGTGGTGAACATGGAGCCAAGGGGGCCACGGCGGGCTCGCTGGGCCGCAAGTGTGTGGTGGTGCGGTGGGCAGACATGCAGATGGAGGTCCTCCGTGACCTCGTAGACAGAGGAGCCGGATCTCTCCTCCTCCTCCTTCCTCAGAACTTCTCCGACATCCACGGAGAACTGGCACAGGTGAGCGAGCCCCCGATAGTCACAACCTTCAAGAATTGTGGATTTCGCTTACAGTTTTGAAATTATGTTTATGGGGGTCCCCTGATAGGGCAACCTTCAAGTGACAAAATTGCGTTTTTGAGAACTACTGTTTAGTTCCCCGTTTTCTACCCCCTTCTATCCCAAGTGTTTTATTTCCCTTGCCCCCCCTTCTCTCCCAAGTGTTTGATTTCCCTTGCCCCCCCTTCTCTCCCAAAGTGTTTGATTTCCCTTGCCCCCCTTCTCTCCCAAGTGTTTATTTCCCTGCCCCCCTTCTCCCAAGTGTTTTATTTCCCTTGCCCCCCCTTCTCTCCCAAGTGTTTTATTTCCCTTGCCCCCCTTCTCTCCCAAGTGTTTTATTCCTTGCCCCCCCTTCCTCCCAATGTTTGATTCCCTTGCCCCCCCTCTCTCCCAAATGTTTTATTTCCCTTGCCCCCCTTCTCTCCCAAGTGTTTTATTTCCCTTGCCCCCCTTCTCTCCCAAATGTTTTATTTCCCTTGCCCCCCTTCTCTCCCAAGTGTTTTATTTCCCTTGCCCCCCCTTCTCTCCCAAGTTTGATTTCCCTGCCCCCCTTCTCTCCCAAATGTTTTATTTCCCTTGCCCCCTTCTCTCCCAAACGTTTTATTTCCCTTGCCCCCCTTCTCTCCCAAGTGTTTGATTTCCCTTGCCCCCCCTTCTCTCCCAAATGTTTTATTTCCCTTGCCCCCCCTAACACACACACACACACACACACACCACAGCAGTGGAGGGAGTTAGAAAGGAGTATTCTGTCCCAGAAGATCCCCATCCCAGTCTACCTGTCACTGGAGGAAGAGACACTGGGAGTCATCCATGACTCTCTGGCCAGTTCTGCCGCCAGAGAGAAACACTCCACAGTCACTGCCAGTCAGTAAACTACAGTAAACTAAACACTCCACAGTCACTGCCAGTCAGTAAACTACAGTACTAAACACTCCACAGTCACTGCCAGTCAGTAAACTACAGTAAACTAAACACTCCACAGTCACTGCCAGTCAGTAAACTAAACACTCCACAGTCACCGCCAGTCAGTAAACTACAGTAAACTAAACTAAACACTCCACAGTCACTGCCAGTCAGTAAACTACAGTACTAAACACTCCACAGTCACTGCCAGTCAGTAAACTACAGTACCACAGTCACTGCCAGTCAGTAAACTAAACACTCCACAGTCACTGCCAGTCAGTAACTATTATGGTACTTAACTTTATTAGGAAAAACCATTTCTGAATCTCTGAAGATATAGCAGGTGACTCTCTAGTAGGAATGCTTTCACAATTTCACTACCAATTTTCTTGGCACTACATGTACGTAGTGTAGTAATAATATGTGAACACAACAGTCACTTGTTGCAACTTTTAAGAGTACTACAAAGTTGTTCGTTCACTGTGGGATAAAGTCCTGACACATTCAGTGTATGTTTGTTCCATCGTTTAGAAGACTTGTTCGAATTTAACCCCCCATCTTCCATGTCTCCTGAAGTGGTGTACATCAAAATGAATGCAGTCAGTTGCTCTGTTAGCTCATCATTTGTGTAAGACATGTAGTGGGTGGTTTGGAGTCAATGGGCATTCATCAGTTATTAACAACTCTATTTTATGTTGTGTGTGTGTGTTTGTGGTCTATTCTATAGCATCTGAATACCACCATTTCATGTTAATGACTTGTTCTCTAAGGTGACAAGGTTTCTGTGACTTGGAAGTTTTTCGAGTCACTTTAAGTAGCTAGTTACATCTGAGTACAGGAACAAATTTTTAGTTGTGTGAAAATTTTGCGAAATTTAAAATGTTTACTAATCGAAAGTGCCCCAAAGTGTATGAACATAATATGTACAGGTCTGTGGCACATACTGACTGGCTATGGTTACCAGATGATATCAGAAGACCAGAAAGAGGCGGAGGTGGTCAAAGACAGCCACGTCGTCACTCTAGTGGTCGTGCTCGTGTATTCAACAGCTACCATTTACTGTTAGGCGCTTGGTTTGCGAGTGAGTAAGAGGAGCTGCGTAAACATTCCAAGAAAATTCCCTTATATCAAGCTCTTGGGAGACCCATTTAGCATCATGCAATATTGTACGCAAACTACGTAACGACTTTTGCAGCAAAAGGTCTAAAACTAGTGTTCACGAAAATAGTTTCGCGATTATGTCATAGACACAATAGGATAGTAGGACATTTTCTTCTACAATCATGTTTGAAAATGAACCTCAGGGTAAGCTGGCAGGAGGCCTGGGGGTTCAGCAGAGGCTGCCGACAGTGATGGTGGTGGCTCACTACGATGCCTTCGGGGCTGCCCCTTCTCTCTCCTCTGGAGTGGACTCCAACGCCAGTGGAGTTGCCGCACTCCTGGGTCTGGCCAGACTCTTCTCTCGGTGAGTGGTGGGAGAAGGGACAGAGCGAGAAGTGGTGGATGAAAGAGTAAAGTTTTGACCGCATCACTGGGAAACTGATATGGGCAACGTGCCTCGGAAATGATAACTCTGCTGAGAAAATGGTTTAGCTTTTCACTTTACTTTCATATCTCTCTATAGAATGAAAGCAGAGAGAGAGAAAGAGAGAGGAGAAACGCACAAGAGAGAGCGAGAGAAAGAGAGAGAAAATGAGAGAAAGGAGAGCAGAGCGCACGAGAAACGACGCAGAACGCTCGACCGAGCGACTCGAAGCAAGAGAGCGCGAGTCAAAGACGAGAACGCGAGAGCAGAGAGATGCGAGAAAGAGACTCAGCGCTCGCTCTCTCGCTCTCTCTCTGATCCGCTCTCTCTCCCTCTCACCTCGCTCTCTCTCTCTCCCTCCATCCCCCTCTCGCCCTCATCTCTCCCCTCTCCCTCCATCGTCCTCGCTCCCTCTCTCTCTCTCTCTTCCTTCACAGACTATACAGAGACGTGAAGCAGAAGCCAAGGTCCAATCTCCTGTTCGTCCTCAGTGGAGGAGGAAAACTCAACTACTTTGGTACCAAGAGTCTTCTTGAAGAGGATAATGATGACTTGGGTGAGAGACACCATAATATCCTATGGACGTTTATTGTGGAGTAAATATACAATTTTGTTCAAATAGGAGTGTGTACCCTATATATAGTAGGTTTTATTGTGAGGCCAATCTTTTTCTGCTCAAAGTGTGAAATTTTTCACCCTTCTCGACCATTGCAGATTCTCTGATCCATTCTTCTGACTACATCATCTGTCTGGACTCCCTGGCCGCCACTGCTGCTTCCCAGTCATGTGACCAGTCACATGATGAGTCACATGACCAGTCACATGATCCTCCCCACTCCCTGACAGTCCATGTGTCCAAACCACCAAAGGAAGGCTCCAAGGCAGCAGTCATGTTGGACCTCCTCAACAGGGTACACACATGTCTCCTGATACTATCACAGAGCTGTAGAGATGCAAAAATTTGTGGGAAAACGGCATATTTGCCTCAAAATTTTGCCGCCATTCACAAAAAACTTTTCTCCTTAAAAACTTTTTGTAGACATACTCATGTTGATAAAGCTAAATACAAAACAACGGAAACTAGTTTGGCCTTAGCTTCAAATGTCCTCTCCATACTATGGCAGTCATTCAGTCAGCTGTCCTCTGGTCCGCTGAGAATGGTGCACAAGAAGATACGACTGAGCGACGACCTGTTGTCATGGGAACACGAAAGGTTCTCTCTGAAGAGACTCCCGGCTGCCACCATATCCGCCCTCTGTCACCATGGCGACCCTCGTAGACAATCTATGTTTGTTAACAGTGAATAAATTAATTTTGGGGGGGTTGGGATAACATTTTTGTGCAGATAAAAATTTTCTTGCGAGAAGAAAGCGTAGGCAAATGTATGGTTTATTGTGTGTACATTTCAAATCCTACCGTTTGTTTTCTGTCCGTCCCATTTCCCGATGGGACAGGTCCCACATTGATGTGGAGGGTCTGACACAGAACGTGGCGGCCCTGGCAGACGGTCTGGCCCGCTATCTCTACAACCTCTCCTCCTTACTCGGGACAGAGGGAGAGAGAGAGGGAGGAGAGAGGATGGCTACCCTCCCCACTGTTAGCTCAGAGTATGTCTCTGCATGGTTGGACTACCTGGCAAGTCACTCACGGTCGCCTCAGCTACTCACCGAGGACCACCCTCTCGTTACTGGACTCTACCAGGTGGGCCTTGCAGTGGTGTATATAGGACAAGTTTGGGGGTTAGGAACTTTGACAGTGAGATGAAGATTCTGGATAGCTTATCGCGTTGTAGCACTGTTTTACAAGATGCAAATTGCTCAAACAGTGGGAAATTTGCATCACCCATACTTATGAATATACTTATGAAGCAGAGGGTATATAGCTGAATTGCCCGTGTACATGAAAGAGAGTGTCTCACCTTCCCTCTCCCTCTCTCCTCCAGGCCATGTCTCAGTCGCTACAAGACGTCACTAAACTCGTCCAGCGACCAGAGAAAAGGTGGAGCATTCTACCTACCACCCCAATACCACCCCAATACCACTATATAGACCAGAAGAACGATGTTTGCAGCGTCGTATATACACTCAATTGGTCACCCAATAACTGTCTTTGTTCCTCTCTCTCTCTCTCTCTCTCCTCCGCAGTGATCCTGAGTTCGTTCTCTACCACATTCCTCAGACCACCCTACACGCTCACAAGTACATACTGTGTGTATATAATTCATTGGCAAACAAAACCTTCAGGAAATGATTTTCTAAATAAAGCACACCTACAACAATCAGTTCTGCCATATACAATGTACATGTAGGTGTACTATTTTACGTATGTAACTCTGAATAAAGGACACCTGAACTTAAGGTCAATGTCCCCCAAGTTGTCACTTATGTAATTCGGGCAAATTACGGTTTCTCCCTATCCTCCCTCTCCCTCATTCTCCTGTTGACACTCGACACGCAGAGTCAAGTCTCCAATATTTGATCTGTTTGTGGCAGTGGGTGTGGCTCTGTATCTGTGCCTCTGGTACAGTCTCATTGAGGTGAGTAGGTGCTCTTAATTCTGTGGTATAATTATAGTGTGTTTTGGGCTCAATTTCGAGAGGCAGTTCTTTTTGTCGTATATAGTAAATCCAAAGGCGAGTGTTTAAACACCTTTTTTGCGTGGCTCATGAAAATGTGTCCTTACTTCGAACTTAGTCTCCAAGTCAAAACGTAAATATTGCCACCAGAGTAACTTTTTAGTGTCCATTATAAGAGGTTGCACTGCTGTATTATTGAAGGGAGTTTTGTTCACTCTGTTTCTATTCTGTTTCTGCAGTTCTTCCCCTGGTCTGCCGTGGGGTTCATTCCACTTCCATTGAAAGTCAAGAGCAGCAAGTCCTGACCAGACACTTCCTTAGAGAAAACATTATCATTGGTACTATATCATTATAGTGTGTGTGTGTCTAAAATGTTAGTTTCTGCTTGTGCGTTGGCAAAAAAAGTTGGAGAAAGTAATGTCTGAATGGTTCTGGTGAAGGTATCTATCTGCTCATCACGTCAGACCCACTGCCAAGGTGCCTCACACAGTCATTGTATAGCACAAGACAAGACTCATCAGTGAATGGTTGTTACTTCATTTAAGACTACCAGCGAATAATGTGCTGCGAATTGAAGAAATTAACATTCCAGTTTTGAAGGCATTTTATTTTGTAGACGAAATTGTTAGCTAGTATCCATCAAAATAAAGATGTTCCGTAAAATTATAGCACATAGACTCTGCATGCAGGCTGAAGTTTTTTTGTATTGTCGAAATTTCAAAAGTTAATGATAATGCTGAGACACCTATAATAATTATACATGAAGATATTATTATAATATTATATAGATAGAAGAGAATAATATATTACTAATGTTCAGGAGGAGGCCAGTCCAGCAGTACATCGCACACATCGAGACTCACGATGTCCACTTCCTGTTTCATTATGTCCCTCAGATTTGGCCTAGTCCGACCGAAATCCCCGTGAACAAACTCCTTGACGTAGGTACCCGCCTGTGTCGTGAGGTTCAGGTAGAAATGGTGAGAGCCCACCAGCTCACCCTGCATGCAGTAGACGCTACGGTCTCGCGTGGCCAGCGATCGTCTGTGCAGGACTCGAATCGGGGTCTTCTGGTGAAGAACCGTCTCCCCCATCTCTGCCAATCGATCCAAATCCCCCTGTGTCACTTCCTCTGGTGCGTAGACTAACGCTCGGTACTCCTTCCTCTTCTCAGCCTCACCCTCTTTTAGAGTGGTTGCGTCCGCCTTCACCATCACGCGCAGCCGTTTCACCTCCACCAAATCAGTACTCGAGTTTATCTTTGATTGTAGTTCTACGACTTCACTAGATTCCAGCACTGTTTTTCTTGGGTTGATTAGTTCGACTAGGAACGGTCGTCCGTCCCCCAGCATGCGAACGTCGCAGTCCTCTCTACCGGACGACGAAAACTTCACCTGCGATGCTCCAACCAGGGCCAGGATGTGGTCGCAGATCAATTCCTGGACCGACGTCTCCATCTTTCTTACTCCGTCCACCAACCACGGAGTCTGGGGTAGAGCTCTGGAGTATTTGCAGTAGCGACCCCCCACAAAGGTCGGGGTATGGAGGAAGCTAATGGAGTAACTACACGGCCGCACGGCTGAGAGAAAATCTACGTTTTCAAAGTCGGATTCAGTTGCATCGGAAAGAGCGTTGGTTACCTTAGTAGTGTTGAAGAAGGAATCATCGAAGCCCGAAGAATTTTTGGCTTTGCGTTTTTTATGTTGCCATCTTCTCCCCCTCCTTTTCTTGGGCCCAGCGAAGATACTAGGCCACGTTTTAGCAGCTAATCTGCAATCAGCTTGGTAACTCGAATGATCTATCTTCAGCACGATTTGAAACTGAGATTCGACGTCACATTTCAGGTGACTCAGTTTTGGTTTCAATTTCAGATAGAGTTTGTGTCTCAGGGTCTCTTTAACGTAGGCCTCTCGCGGCTGAGCCAACTCGTCTTTAATTTCGAAATTTCCCTTTAAATAGAACAGTACGGCAGAGTGTCTGATCATGAGGGAGAGAGGGGTGGAAATGGAGAGAGAGAAACTCTTTACATGTGGGTAGGCGGCTCTCTCTAACTGCTCACAGATGTCTGTGGAGAGGTTTTCAATGAATGATTCATCCAGTAGTCCGAGGCATGCAGAACAAACTGGAGCGGCAGATTCCTCGTTTTCTGGTTCGTTCTCAGTGGTTTCGTCTGGTGGTGAGGTGTATTTATCTCCACCCTCCATCTCAGTCTTTGGCGAGCTCCTCTCTGAATCAGAGCCGATGCTTCTTTCCGAGTCCTCCTCCGCTCCTTTCCTCTCGTCTCCATCTCCCCCTCTCCCTCCCTCTTTCCTCGCTTCTCCCTCCCCCCTTTCCTCTACCTCCTCCCTCTTTCCCTCTCCCTCTCTTCCTCCGCTCACTGTGCCAGCAGCTGGTGTTACTTGCACAGCTTCTTTCCCGCAAATAGTCTCTTCGACGGACCCTCCATCAAGTCTCACCTTCTTCCTAACTGGAGATGTACCCACACCACCACACAACGAAGAGTTCTCTTCATCCCTGGCGATGACGTCATCGGCTTTGGAGCATTTTACAGGGTCTTGTTCCCCGCCTGGAATGTCCCGCTCTTCTGCAGATGTTGGAGCGACAGCTGCGCTGAAGTTGAAAGCTTTCCGACACTCTTCACACAATTCAAACATCTTTTCGCGTTGAACGTGCGTCTGCAAGCGAGGTCGAAGTTCACAGCACGTGGACAATGCGCTCTAATTAGAACACGCCACCTTTCGTCTCTCTTTCGCTGAAGCGGTACGTGTCGAGCTCGAGGCTGCAGCCGGGAATGGAGGACCGAGACCCACTAGTTGCTCTCCAGGCGTGTATTGCAGCCGTCAGACGTGGCGGAATGGGAGAAGAAGGGGCTGAAATTGAGCGATTCCTTCGTAGCGTGGGAGAGTCGATAAGCGAGAAAGACAGAGAGATAGAGTGGCTCAGGGAGGCCCTCGAACAGAGCCGGGAGGAGAGGTCACGTGACTTCGGACGACTAGTGGGTTCTGTCCAGCAAGGGGGCGAGGTTTCTGGTTTTGGAGGACGTGTAGGAACACCAGTGGGCGTGGTAGGGTCTGTGGCTACATGTCCACAAGACAATTGTGGACTGGAACGGGGAGGTGGGAACGACGGAACGACGGAATCGGTTTCTGAAAGTGTTGGAGACTCTGTTTCTGCGAGTTGTGAAGAGGGAGAGAGGCAGCTGCAGTGGACCACTGCTGATGGTAGCTAGATTTTGGGATGACAGCTGAATCATGTTGTAGTTATGGTGGTTCCAGTGAGTGGCTATTGGTAACATGCACCCTCTTCTCTTTCCCTCTCCCTCCTCTCTCCCCTTCCTCCTCCCTCTTCCTCATAACCTCCGTGTGTTATATGTATGTAAAGCTGCAGGTGAAGGCACTAGTAGAACCATAGACACCAATCCAACAGCAGACAATCACACACAACAAAATGAACCTGCTTCCGAAGCAAATGGAACGAACTCTTCCAAAGAAACGGACACTGTCACTGATGTGTGTCCTGTCAAACCTGCTGCCGCCAGTGGTCACTCGGATGTGGACGGTGTGAGTGGAACTCTTGAAAGTTCGGACAAAGAGAGAGGGGAAGGAGGAGGAGAGGATGACACCGTACCGGCTGGTGAGGATAAAGAGGGTGTGGCTACGGGATCAGTCGTGGATGAGACTGGAGGGTACCAGGAGGTGGAATTTCCCTCTCTCTACTACCACTCAGCCACTGGCTACTATTATGATGCCGTGAGTTTCATTTTCACTAATCGGTCCAGAAAACTTGAGATAAATTTTTAAGAATTGTTACGATTTCTGATTCTCACTGTTCAAGTTAAGTGTTGCTACAGTATTGAACCAACCCCATAAACTATGAAATTGATGTGCATATCTTTTATTACAGACAACCCAGCAGTTCTTTGCTCCTGTATCAACAGACTATCAGGCAACTGGACAGTCCCATCCGTCAACTGGACAGACCCAAACTCAGACCTCGACCTCTGGTAGCAATGGCGGCGGGGACGGAGAAGAACAAGCCACGTACGAGAGCGGTCCGTCTGGGCCGACACCGAAACAGCCCAGCACGGTGACCGATCTTCTGGCTGCCGTGTCGGAACACGCCAGTCAGAAATGTGGACTGTCTTACGATGAAGCCTCTGGAATGTACTATGACCACCGATATGCCATGTACTATGATCAGGTGAGAGGGGCAGAGTATTGGGGGAATATGGATTTGTGTTAAAGGGAGGAAAGGGAGGGAGAAGAAAGTAAGCTGCTTTACCCACAAGCCATCTTACCCTAAATCAGGGCTGGAGCCAGGGTGCACCAGGGGGACATTGTAGTCCCTCTACCTCTTCATTTGACCCCTGAATATGCTTCCCAAGGCACTTTTGACCCCCCAAATAGTAGGCGTGCTGTTATTGGGACCATCTAAATTGGTTGCTAGGGGGCTGATTGTCCCCCAACAATAAATCTTTGAAGCTAGCTCTGCTAAATTCTGCATTTAGCTTAAACATGTGTATTACTCACGATGTTAGGAGCATGGGTGAAGGTCACTAAACGTAAAATCTGCAGAAAAGTGCCGTAGTGACAGTATGTAGTCAGTTTGGTGCACTGACCTTCCCTTACAGACATGTGGTTATTCAGAGCTGTGCCAGGGGTGCAAAGGTGGGGAGGGAAGTTTCCGGAATGTCTACACTACTTTGGGTGTGATGCTGTGATGCATGTGGGTGGTCTCTAGTTGATATGCATGAGGCACTAGAGTCGATTGCAGTGAATGCAACCCTGTGGCATGTCGTTGGGCTGCTCAGCTGGCCTTATGAATACCACCGACGTACTGAGGTCGGGATTTTAAAGATATTTCAGCAAGTTGGTGGTCATACCATTTTTTGATCAGCAGGTGTGTATGAATACAGTTAGCTCGCTGGCTTTATCTGGGCAGATGATAGAAATCTGATTTTTAGCCACAGCCCCACCATACGCAGTAGAGGGAAGAGGTTGTGTATAAAACTGGAAGTAGAAGAAAGGAGAGGGAGGAAAGGGGACAGTTTAACCTTTGCCCCTGTAGATGTTTCAAACTCCTTGGTGTTATAAACTAAACCTGGATAACTCATTTGGATCGAACTACGCTGTACATGTACCGAATAACCTTTATGCCTTCAACTACAAGTGACGTATTACGTCAGCTCGTAAGTGCTTAAAGCTCCCTCTCTCGACATATTATATAGCAATCACCCCCCACCCCCCCATGCAATGAGAATGACATGGTATGGAAATACTCAGGAGGACAGAGAAAGAACCAGCTTCCGTCAGGAGTTGAGATCTCAGACGTGCGTCGTGACCTCAGGTCCAGTGCACTAAACATTGAGCTACAACTCCCAGACAACAGTTGTTTCCTACATTCCCTCCAATTTCTTTCCCCCTCCCTCCTGAGCGGTGTACTCAAGTCCAGTGCACTGGACACTGAGCTACAACTCCCAGACAAAAGCTGGTCTTCCCCCAATAGAGCTTTTTGCACCGTTACGGGGTAATTTGATTTTTAGGGGAATCTGCCCGTCCTTCGCTACGTGATTTGCCCTCTAAGATGGCTGCCGTTGCTACGGAAATGTGCATTAATTCATTCTGTGCAAAACCTCTATTCGTTCTAAGTACTACTGTCATTCTACCGGCACCTTCACACCAACAGTCATCTACCACATTCTGCAGGCGAGACAGCTGTACTACGACCCCGACGGAGGGACGTACTACGAGTTTGATGCGGAGACGTGTCAGTACCAGGTCCACTCCAGAGTCAAACTGTCCAAGAAGACGGCCAGATCTGAGGAAGGCACGGAGAAGGTCGTGGACCTCTGCAGCAGTTCCGACAGTGAGGACGAAGGTGGGTCGAGGGGTTCTCCATGTATCTCCACACATTGTACATGTACACTTGTCCAGTTCTACCACCAACCCTCATAATCTCTACTACAATTTCTTTCTTCCATGGAACTGTGCATTCGTTCTAGTTCAGGCTGAAAGGAGTCGCCATTATGCAAGCCCTCCACCAATATTTATGTGTATATAGCATTAGTATACCATACTTATAGACACTTGTTTCAATCCAATGCTCATATATATATATATATACTTTCGTGTATTATTTGATGAAGGAAACTGCTATATAAGGACATTTTTCACAGTTCCAGCGTGTCCTTTATAAAGAGGTTCCGCTGTATATATGTGTGTCGGCAGGTCCCCTAGAGGAGGGTGAGTTGCGAGGACCAAGCTACCCAGAGATGTCTCCTCCACCGGAGGAAGAGTGGGCCCCCTGTCTCAGAATGGTGGCGGGGAGCTCCGAGTGTGTCCCTCGAGGGACCGTGTTTGTCGTTACTCAGGAGGGAGCTCAACTCGGCCGGTCAGAACACAGTTCTTCTCTCTCTCTCTCTCTTCCACCTCCGTCCCTTCTCTAGCTTCCTCTCTAATCCTCTCTTTCACAGCTTGCTTTTGTTGAAGTGAATGTGGCAGTATAATTATAGCTAAGGGCTTATAAGAATAACCAAACTAATTGCATTCTTCACAGGGTCCTATTGCTAATTTTAGTCCTAACCCCTGTACATTTTTGGACCACAGTTTTATATTAACTACTATGTGGTCCAAATCTTTCTCCACTCGCCATGTTTTTGTGTGCTAACAAGCCACAGGACATGTGTCTGTTACAGACACATGTCACTGCCGCAGTCTCCGTATGAGTATAATTATGCACATTAACGAAGGAGCTGAAAGTGTAGAACCAAATGATTGGAAAATGTTCAAACTATTCTGTTCCTCCTTCTCTTCCTTAACCCCTCTTCCTCCTTCTCTTCCTTAACCCCTCTCCCTCCTTCTCTTCCTTAACCCCTCTCCCTCCTTCTCTTCCTTAACCCCTCTCCCTCCTTCTCTTCTTTAACCCCGCTCCCTCCATTCCAGAGAGCCTGGGGGAGCCAACCCGGTATCTCTTCGCGAAGTACAGGTCAGCAAGGCCCACGTGGACATAAGATTCAGCAGAACGAACGGCTGTTTCACGATCTGTGACCTGGCCAGTCAGAACGGAACCTTCCTCAACAACGCCAGGATCAGTGAGGTGGGTTAATACGTACGTACATAATGTGTGATGAAATAGTATATAACTATCATGAAGAGCGGTTTACCATAGATCAGTTACAGATGTACTATAGTCAGTATGGAAACTCAAGAACTAAGAATCACCTACATATATTGTGCAGAAAACCAAAATTCAATTGCCTTATTCCTAAATTTTCATTGGACTCAGCGGGCGCGACTACTTTCGGTTTTTAACCACATTCCAACGAGAAATAGTGAATATTTCAAAATAAGGTGTAAAGAATGTGCATACAATAATATAAGCAGGATCCCCACTACTATCTTTCGCGGGTCAGGATGTCCCTTAGACCTTGTTGTGTTTTTTGCAACGAAATCAGGGCTCCACAATTAGGGGGTGGAGCATGTGATTAAAAATTATTCATAGACGGCAGTTTGAATATCCTTCTTGTCTTTCTTCTCACACATGATGCATGTATGCTTGGCTCACCCACTGTGTGTGATCTATACCCTAATAATATGTTAGAATCTGCTATATTTAGAGCCGTGTTACTATTTTTAGCCAAAGACAGAGAGCAAGCCCCACCCCATAAACCACAACGACATCCTCGAAATTGGGACGACGTCGTTTACGCTCCACATCCACTCCGGTTGGGACACATGTGAGTTCTGTCGGTGGGAGGAGAGGGGAGGAGGGGAGGAGGGGATGGGGAAGGAGGGGAGGGGGTCGTGGAAGACGGAGCTCAACAGGATAAAGAAGAGATACGGGTTGAGGGTAAGTCAGAAAAGATAACATTTATACCCTCTTGAAATGATGTGTTTTCAAAGGAGAGACTTTTATAGTACAGCCTATACAGCAAAACCTCTGAATATTGGACACCTTAGGGACTTAGAGGCGTTCCTTATTCGAAATAAATGGGGCAGGATAAGGAGGTGACGTATTCAGAGGGTCCTTTTGTCCGAGGTTGCACTGTACTGTGTACAGTGTACATATGCTCTGCCATACTTGAGAGTTTGGTACTGTTTAATGCAGATGAAGGACACGTATGGAGAGGATCCGGTCAGAGCTTCTGATGGTTATGTGGACAGAGCTGCTGGGAGGTATGTCAGAGGGAGGGAGAGAGAAGGGGGGAGGGAGAGGGAGGAAGGGAGAGGGAGGGAGGGAGACGCTAATAGGCTGCGATAGTTTCTCTAGCAAAAACGTGTAAGTCTGTATTTACACAAGAATCTCCAACCAGACTGTAATACGCCAGACCAGCCACTCTCTCATCACCTAACAAAGTTCCACTCTCTCCCTAGCTCCAACAGTTCGTGTCTCGCAGGCACAGCGGCCTCCCTAGCCAGCAATTAGCTATCAGATTGTTCGAATGACGTCCTTGCTGCCGTCCAGCCAACCATCACTGGCTGGAGTTCACATGCATACCCACACCCCCTTCTCTTGACCTCTTCACTCAAAACTGCCAAGCCCTTTCCGTAATGTATCATCACTGAAGAGCACGTGTACAGTCTCAATTACAGACAGGGTTCTCTTGACCTCTTCATTCTCTGTGTGTAGTGTGTTTTCTGCCTCTTGTCTGACATCAGCCTTGTCATTACTGATTACGGACACAGGCACAGGCTTATATACAAAACTACTATATAAGGTCACCATAGGCACATGGGTGCTATCCCTTACCAGTGAGTTGCAGTTATACCAGTGACCTCGCTCCTTTGTCCCGGCAATGGTACATAATGTATGTCACCTAATTGGCAGTATTTGTGTATCTATAGCCTCTCATTTCGCCAAGTTTCAATCGTCATCCTCTACTGCACTGCAGTAAAGATTGAATTTCGAAATACATGTCTCAACAACTTGGTAGCGAGGTAGAATGGCAGGGCAAGGCAAACAAGTCAACTACATACAACTATTATGTATTGCTTGTTATTGAGTAGTGTCATATTAAAGGTTGCTAGGGTATTATACGTGAAGTGGATGCCAGGCTTACTAATTGGGAAATTCCTGTGGTTAGCTTCCTAGACAACCATAGCTACGTCCTGGGTATTAATTAGAGAGAGTGTGCCTACGCATACACACAGTACCAACTGTATGTGTATAATGTATATACAGTAGTTCCGTTTAACAATAACGTGAGAGGTGATGCCAATTTCAGAATGTCAAAAACACAAACAATTCTTCTAACACCTACGAATACTAGGAATCAATGCGCACCCCGTCCATAGTGTTTACCACTTGTACGAGGTCCATATGTCAGCCAGTCAACAGAGCTGCCAAGAACGTTTCATTTGGTTCCAGTACGTCACAGCCACACGCCAAGTCAGCTTTGAAGCGTGCGCACAGGAAGTGAGAAAGGCAAGGATGTTGGATGTTATCTTTTCAGGAAGTTACTCTGGCTTGAGGTGATTAATTATTAACACGACTGGAAAACACAGTTACTTTTGAAGGAGAAAATCATTTTCTGATGTTTATGACAAAGTTTTCTTGGGGAAATTGTGCATGGACCAGGGTTACTTGTATGACCAGTCCACAAAGCTTTCTCAGCGATATTCACGTTTTCTACTGAAGGGTGACCAAATTACCAACGACGACGTGTGCAATCTTGCAGCAATTTGCACAGCAGATGTAGACTACAAAATTCTCTGGAGGTGTGGAAATCATTATAACTGGTGGTAATTGATTCGGAAGACGCAGTCTCATTAAATGCAATCAACCACAAAATCCAATTCAGGCTGTCGCATATCTTTGCTAATTGACTGAACAAACAGTAGTTTCTCAAATGTCTCTGTTTGTCCTCAGCTGATACCAAACACTGCGATACTGTTTCTTGTGCACGCTGCCTGTGAGTTGGGCAATACTCTTGAACGACTGACATACCCATCTTTATCTCAATGCCACACCTCTCGTATTTCACTCTGGCCCTATCGTCTCCACGCGTGCCTCTCTCTATGGAACTTGTCTTCACATCCAGACGATTTTAATTACAGAGGAACTCTTATCGTTTCAAGATCACCTTGAAATCATTGCAGTGGAGCCCATGCGATACGTGACCCCCTAATGATATCATTCCATATAGTGTGTCGTTGAGTCTCAGTTACTCTGTTTGATCCAGAGGACTACCAGATGAAATGGACGGATTACTAGTGTGTCTGAAGGAGTGTCTTTTGTTTTTGGTGGAATTGCATTCCTGAGGGAGTGCCTTTGTTTTTGAATTTTTATCCGCAGTATATATCACCTTTGAGATTAAGAAGTGGTGTTGCTTTCGTTTGATTAATCATCCTTGTCTTTATAGAGTGTCTCTGTTTTCCCTTGTGTCAATAACTTGCAAGCGATGCGAATTTTGCAAAGGGAGTGTGAGGCATGGCAATGTGCATTCTCAATACAATGAGCTGTGATTATCTATGGCTCTTTTGAAGAAAGACAAGTCTGTATTCTTGCACTGGTAGAAGGAAGTCTGGCAGTACCCGTATCACACAGTACACTTAGTCACGCATGGCTCGCTGTAAGTGAGTTGAAGAAATGCAAAATCCACCACCAGAGTAGTGTCCAGTTCTTTTCCTAGAAATCTAGGTCTATTTTATTATAATACCAACAGTAAAGTGTCACCAGATAGCCTCCTCCCTACTGGCTGGCAATATTAGATATCAGTGGCATGTTTGCTGACAGTATAGGTGGAGAGATTCCCATAATAAGCAGACGTGAATCACAGTGCTGGTGTTTTCCTTCATTGGGAGATACAGTGGGAGATATGTACATGATGCGTGAAGTCCCACTGTCTTAGTCAGCCATTGGAGGTGTTGGTCGTGTGAGAGATTCAGTCTGGTCCAGACATACCACTCATTCTCTCCCACGGCAATGGTTGCTCTCTCTCTCTCCTTGCTTCTTGCTCCATCTTCCGAAGGTGGGCTAACGAGCAATTAGAAGAGGAGTTATCCTGATTGTTTGCCTTTGCCGTTTTTTACGACCTTGCATAGTAGCACGGCAGGCTTGAGGTGGAACCATAAGTACATAATGTCTGTCCTACCATAAAGCTACACCAACTCTCCTAAACAACAGTAGTCTAGTCAGTATGACACATGCTCCATAGGAAAGCAGTAAGAGGTGATACTGCGACCATGCAGCGAGCACGTGTTGCATAGGAGCATCACCACATCCAGCGTCCCAACCATGTGTGATCTTTTGTCGCGAGACTAACAAGAATTTAGCCTGGGTGGCAAGTCACGTAGCTTGCACCTTCTTAAAAATGGACTAAATAGCTGGCGTAATGGGATACACTGGGATCACACCATTTTGTGGGCTACTGCTCATACCAGAATCAAAGAGAACGGTGAGAATGTGACACGGCCTCTAGTTTAACGTCTGAAACATAAACGGTGGGTGTGGGTTGTGTGGCAAGACCATTAAGCTATCCCACCTCTGGCCCAGTACACAGGTGACATTCAAGCTGTGACAGTTTGCACTGAGCGCACAAACAAGGCAATGAAATATGAGAAGATTGTTGTTACATAAAATGTATAAGAAAAATTTTGTGTTTGAGGGTCACCCATGAAAGATTTATCCGCCAATTTTTTTGATATAAAAGTTTTATATGCGAATCCTCTAATTGCACACAGAGACTTTAAGTAATCGAATGGCAATCCTCATTCTCTTAATTTATACAATATCACGCTATCCCTTATCTGAGAGGATTTCCATTTGAGATGTTGGTTCATTAGAGGGAGTGGTTGGGAGGAAGCCGCGAGATACGTAATATAATATTCTGGTTATTAGTCACTAATATGCGGATGATGCGGTAATAAGCGGTTTGGGTGGAAGTTTATTTTTCTAAATTAGTCTCGATCACATGGGAAATCACTGTTTTGGTCTGTCCATTAGCCGGAATGCTTTGATTAGTCACTGAACTGTCACAATAATCTGGGGCCGCCGTCTCACAACTTTTCTAGATTGTATGACTGATCCTATACTAACACAGTAATCGCAGCTGCTGGGAAGATAGTAACATATACATCGGTCGCGGGAGAAGACGTATAAATCGGTCACGGGTGGAAACGGATATATTTCCAAGGGATAATCGGTCACAGGTGAAAACAGATAAATCAGGTCACAGTTAAATGGACCCTAGCTGAAAACAGGCACGGCTGTGTATGATCTTTAAATGGATTATGTTGCCACAGCTGACAACAGATAAATCAGCCGTGGATAATAGTCTTTCCATGCCTGGCTCAATCTCTCTCTCTCTCTCAGACGTCAGACTGTTGGGAGTGACATGCCAGATGTGGGCTACCTGGATGCTGCCCCTGCCTCAGTTCACAGGTTTTGCTTCATCTCTCTCCCCCCTCTCTCTCTTCCTTCCTGCCTCTCTTTCTCTTCCTCTCTCTCTCTCTCTCTCATTTCGTTCCTTCAACCATCACATTCCTCTGGCCCATAGCAGTGTCTCCAGGAACGTTTCCTCAGAGGTTCTAGTGGCAGTTTGAGCATTTTTTGTGCCCACTAAATGGCATTGGGTGCCTGCCTTTGCTCTCAGCTTACACAGCCTTACGTGGTATATACCTCCTTTACCTTCCTTCTGTTCCTTCAATTCCAACACTGTATGGTGTGTCCACATAGAAACCGAGGAACCATTGTGCCAATGAATATCATGTGCATTGACATAAAAGGAGGAACTAACCAGAAGTGTGCCAAATATGTGTAACTCTTTGCAATGCAGATGTTAGTAGCATTGATAGTGCAGCGATTCACTGAAATGCTCCAACAATTTCGATACACCACATCAATGACATCACACTAGTTTGTGGCACGCTGTCCTCTAATCGGGACACTTGTGAAACCAAGAGTGTCCATTGTAACAAGAGAGAAATTTGCTGTTCTCTAATCGAGACACTTTGGAACAAGAGATATAAGATATTTGCTGTCCTGACAGTACAAATTTACTCTGGTACAGAGCCATTGGTGAGGAGAGTGTGGGTCACAAGATGCTGAAGAAGCTGGGCTGGAAGAAAGGAGAGGGCCTGGGGAAGGGAAGCAAGGGCAGAACGGAGCCGGTAGGTTGTCGTCCCTCGCGTTGAGCTCTTCAAATCCAAATCAGTTAACCTTGAAGAGCATATGTGTCTCTTTTTGTTTCTGGCAATGGCTAATCGTTTTCCATAATCGTGACGTAGCTATTACATGTGCTCCTGGCGTGGGCTCTGTTTAGCAGCAAAAAACTACAGCCTGTGTGCATATTAAAAATATAAGTGTAGTCTCCTAGTCTCACACGCCGGAGCACAAGCTTAAAATCATATTAGTCTATGGCTCTATTGGGAAGTTGGGTTGGTTCCGGTGATAGCTAATCTTCAATCTCGTTGTGGTAGCCATTAGTTGTAAGCTGCTTGCTCCTGTATGTATGTGCGTTCATATGCAGAAATGGCTTTTCAGTGTACATATTAGTCACTGGGGCAGTTTGAGCTCTAATAATAATGCAGCAATAGGACCTTTGCCGAGCATATAGATAACATACGCACAGGAGAAAACATAGGTAAACGTTTTGAGCTGCCTGCAAAGAGATTACACCACACGTTAGCTGGATACGGAACACTTGGTTTGTTTTCCATCACCTAGCAACTGTTTACTAATTGCCATCTACGGGATGTTAAATTGAGGTGCATTCGCCCGTGCACCCTAATTACTGTCAGTTAATTTCACGCCTAGCACAATACACGTAGCTCCTTGAGTCGCCATATTATCCCCTGTACACTTGCCTCGATATATTGCTCATCACTTATCCAATCCACTAGTGAACACAGAGAACTGTGAAGCGTGGAAGTTACAATTTCTCATTTCTCGTGTGGGATGTTTGGGGAAGATTGAAAGCAAATACCGGGCCACTGTCATACGTAGATTAACGAAATGCTTTGCGGTTGGTATGCTGAAATGCCTTGCGGTTGGTGTTCACTCGGAAGGAAATAAATAAATAACAGATTATGCAAGCTAGGAGTACAAATAAACCCTGCTAAATTTGGGTATGGAATCCCTGAGAGGTCAGACTATACCAGAAGAGTGGGGCTGTGTTTACACTGCCTGATACACCTGATGTGCTGCCACTTAGCTTCCCACCCATTATCCCTATTATACTCTGCCATCTGTTGCATACTTTACAACCTTGCAAACTCTCGCCCTGAAAGGTCACTTTCCATATGCTTTCCACTAGAAGCTATGCATTTCCTTCTGATTTGCTGGCTGCTTTGAGAATACACCAAACCACAATGTGCGACCGTGTATAGCCTCTTCCAGTAGAAATTTCCGCTTGATTTTCCATTCCGTGACCGAAAAAGGAGATACTTGAGAAAGATTTGCAGTTCAACACAAGTCGATGTATGAGCTTCGTTTGAGGGAAGGTATAGCTGTACAGTAGGTCACAAGGCATGTTGTTCCAATATTCAAGTGAGATAACCTGACCCTCCCATGTTTATGTTCGTTGCTATATAGCAGTTTCATCAAAAATTCCATGAACATGACTTTGTTCCAAGAAGTTGCAGTTGTCTTGTAGTTGTTTTGATGCCGTTTGGAGCTGTTTTTTTCTCCGTGATTAAATATGTTGGCTAAACATCTGCTCAAGCACTGGCAAACGAAAACATTTTCGCGAAAAGCCATCAGAGTTAAGCTGATGATTGATTGAGCAAAATCTATGTATCCAGGAATGGGATTTTGAGTTCTGTGTGTTATGTAATTGCAGAGTATATAGGGATTGCTGCGTAACAAAGCAGATTGGAGTATGACACTTTGGTTCTAGATTCCAAATCAATAATTTTTCGTCATGGCTATCTAGCTACACACACTGCGGAATAATACTGCATTACATTAGCTATAGTTCGTGCATGTTCAGTTTTGTATATAACTACCTAGTATGTAGCTCTGTATAATGATAGCTGTATAGCTAGTGGTTTGTTTGTTATACTGCGCAATAGCCGTAGTTCAGTCGTTTATCCCGTGATATATACTTAGAAATAGCGAAGTGCAGCTAGCAATAGCTACCAATGTCACTGGTGTAATACGCTACTGCTCAGGTGACGGCCGAGGTGCGGGAGGTGAGGTCGGGACTGGGGAGCGGAGGCGGTGGGAAACGATCGCTGGACGCCGCCGGCGGGGGCGAGTCAGCGGCCAAGCACGCCCGACTCGTCAAACATTACTCGCAGGTGGTCGCCAGAGAGTCGGATCGCTCCAGGAGACAGTGATCATCATGAACAGTAGCTATCTATGTCATCATTGTTGGCTAGAGAAATGAAGTTGCGCGAAGACAATGATGCACAGCGAGGGCTTTGCAAGTCCCTTTCTGCAGTGGTTCGTTGCGGAGTTAGTTGCCCGTTCAAATGGTGGTAAAAGTGTAGTCTCCTAGTCTCACACGCTGGAGCACGAGCTCGCTCAAAAGTAAAAAACACCCCCGCGCGCTGCAAGCCGCGCACACTACACTGATACGTGTAATGACGCGGCCCGCAGCGTGTGCCGTTATTATATCGCCAGGGTATAAAAGCGGGAAAAAAGGCCTCAAATCGCATCTCAAACTTTTGCAATCTCACTGAGAAGAAAACTCAGTCTCTCCGACCTCGCGTCCAAGATGCACTACATCACAACCGCACTAGCGACGCTAGCAGTTGCGCTAGCGATCGCACTCCGTTCCGTGAACGCCTACGGCAACGGCGGGCTCTCGGCCGACGTCTGCAACACCTTCGGTGTTTACCACGAGGCAAACCGCCGCCCAGACACCAGCAAAGACGTGTATCTGACCCTCTTTGGAGAAAACGGAGAGCCACAAAACTGCTTCATGCCGCAACGCAACTACTACGGTGAGTTTCGCTTCTGCAGCTGTCTGCACATCAGCATGAATGTCATTAGCAATTTCTACTTCTGTGGAAATGGGATTATAAAGAATGGTGTCTATCTCTCCAACAGTGAAACTGAATTCAAGCTATCTCATACGAGGGTTTCTGCTTCAAGCAGTGTCAGGGGCTCGTATGCCCAGCCCTGATACCAGTCTTCCTAGTGATGTTACAGATGGTCCATGTCGCGACAGCAACAATGTCGTCAACAGTGTCTCACACACGTAAGTTGCAACTCAAGTCCACAGTCGCTGTGTCATTACCATACTGTGTGGTATTCTGCAGGCAAAAGAGAACAGACAGATCAGAAGAACTGTATTTCCCCATCTCCGTTAAAAGAAGCACTCGTCCGCTACTCTTTAGGTATGTGTCGAGTGTTTATAATGCTTTGCGGGATTTCCATGATCTGTAAATACTCATTTTATCTGCAGATACACAGTAGTTTTCTCATTTACTTCATTCCTGGCTGACAAAACCTTGGAAATTCCCTGCTGTGAGAGACTCAATCAGGTGAGCTTGAATTTATTCATTTCTTTTTTACCAGACTGTATCCAATCGTAAAAAGACCGGAAGAGCCTAGCAGTATTCATTAGCACGGATATTCATGCCCCCTCCTGCCTCTGTGCCAGTTTCCTATTATTCATTGTCTCAGCTGATGTTCTAAGACCACCCATCCCCCATGTAATCCTACTATCTCAGAACTTGGGACATTTGTCCTTCTGTGAGAACTGTATTTTTAAATTCTCTGTGTGGTTATTGCAGAATGCGACTCCGCCTTCACCGACGGCTATTTCTGGCTCGGGAACAGTCGCAGACACTTCAAAAGAAGGAAGTGGCACGACCCATACAACCACTGCTCCCTACATAACATTGCCACCTCTCGGTACTCCAGGTAAGGGAGCACACAATAATCCCTTAGATTACTCTTGGTAGCTACCTAATCTCCAGGATTACGTATGTAATACCCTCCATGTGTTATTTTTGCTGAAATGATGGATCTTTTTCCTCTGCCTTGCAGTTAACAGAACGTGTGGTAGAAGAGTTGAGAACATTTACAAGTCCTTGAACGACACTCGTGGCGAGATTCGCTACAACTGTACGATCAAACGGCCGTTGAAACAGACAGTTTGCAGTGAGTCTTGCGAAATAGACGGCCAACGTCTTCGCTGTCAGGTGTACAAGCACATCCCTCGAAGGAAAGGCTACAATTGCGTCCCGTACACAGACTGTGATCAAACCAATGTTATCGCGAGTGAGTATGGGACGACTTTCGAAGAGATTGTTACGACTGGATGCCAGTGTTTTATAGAAGAAACAACTTCCAGCCCCTCAGAAGAAAATTGACAGGACCCTCACAACGCTATTGACCAAACAGGACAACCTACATTATAATACGTAACTAAAAAAATGGTGCTCTCCTGAGAATAATTTCTGACTCAACTTCCTATATACATGATCATGACTCTGACCACAATTGACAGGAACATTTTATTTATTTTTCACACAGATTTCTCTGAGGAATCTAAATTTTTGTATCATCACTTATGTATAGATATTGCACTGGTGCTATATATAGAATTATATCAGGCATGACTTTCAGCTTTGTCTCTGCCATTAGGGGAAAATATATTTTTTATAATTCAATCTTTTATCAATGATTATATACTTTCATTGTGAAGGCTCAAAATCCTCTATGCCTAGAGGTTGCACTAACTCACCAGAAATATTAGGAACTTTCTAAAACAATGGATGTAAGTATGCAGCAATCAAGTCTGTATATAGCCTCTGCACAGAACAGTTGTGAAACTGATTATAGCATTCTTGGTTGAGTATATAGTAGCTGCGCAACCAAGCGTGTTCGCCCAATGTGGAGTTGAGCTGCCCATTGTGTTAGCGTAACGTGTTCCGTGGGACAATGTACACTACAGTCTCAGCTGATCCCATGCTCCTATATAGAGCTAATGGTCTCACTTTGCAGCATGGCACATTACCTGCATAAACTGATTAGGGTTGCCTGGGAGACCCTGAGAGTGTGTACCTTGGTGGATGGCTTCAGTCTAGTAGGGACTGAGGAAATGGCCTCCTCTCAGAGACAAGAATTCTAAGGAGCGTGCAGTTCACAAAACACAGAATTTCATCAAACTGAGTTGAGCCAGGTGCTTGTGTTGACCTCACCTGGTATATATATTTACCTGCATCAAAGAATAATTGAATCAGGGAGGTTTGACTGGGAATGTGTTACCTCATTAGCGGACAAAGCCCTTCAGACGTCTAGCATGCACGCAGTGATTGCGATGCACAAACATGGGATATGGTTTGTCGTCATTATGACATAATGACATGGGGAAACAGAGGAATGGGTGTATCGAGACAACTGACAGTATCAGCTGATAAATGACGTGATTCAGGTACATCTCAATTTGGTCTTCAAGAGCTTTTTTGGTGTTTGTTTAAAGAGCCTTCGATGACGATATTTTACGTCTCAATGCATGCAGACATTGTCTTCACAGGTCGACAGCTTTTTAGGTGTTGGTTTATAGAACCATTCTCTGACATGGTCTGTGGGTAACTAATGATATTCATGAGCCACTCAACAGATAAGCCAGTGACCAAGTGCAAGTGCCTTCTCACACTATATACGTCCATTAGCTTTGCTCGTTACCACATACTCAGCCTGACAGTGGGTCGCCACCCCCATCACAGGCATTCCCGCTCGTCTCCCTAGGCAACAGGCAGCTCCAGCAGCTGGTACCAAACCTAGGCTAACAAAGTTAGCGGCGGGACAGCCTTCCCAAGAGAAGAAGATGGTCAGATGGGCAGTGGTCAGTATTGCACGGCGGTGGCTGAATCAGGCAACCGAGGAAACCTTCTAATTTAGCCACAGGACCAGTGATTGATTGCCCTCACTGCATGGCCTCAGGAAATGACTACTGTAAACAGCGATAGGCATCTAGTACAGGAAAGGAGAGAGAGGTGGGGATTTCCAAAGCAGTTCTCATTTTGTTGTGAAATACTTCAGGTGCATTGGATTTTCCTCCTCTACCTAATGCATATATACCCCAGTCGTAAGTCACTGCTGAAGTACAGTGTTAAACAACGAGTCTGGGTTTTACTTACCTGCACACTTAAGTAATGTGAGAGCAGCAGCCCGTGCACAGTAGAAGCGATGCACAAAGCAAGCTTGACTTTGACTTTGTAGTTGGCGAGAGTATTCCTGCATTGCATTCCTCTAGTATAGACAAGAGGTCTAGCAATTATTGTCATCTCAGATGAGAAAAGAGGTCCCTACATTTAACAGTTTAAATATCTGTTCTCAGTAGGTTTTCAAAACTGCTGGTCCCCAGGGTGTTCAGATATCACATATTCCACATACGTATGAATGTACTTAACCACTGCACGCTACTTTCTCCATGCTCTGCAATAGTTACATAAGATTGCGACAAAAGTATAGCGCTGTGTATATTACCACATTTCTACGTATGACCACATTTATTAATGTGGTTATCCAGCTGCAAGCATACGGAATCTGTCCATATAGTGGATATTCTGCAATCTCCTACCATGACACTATTAATTGCAAGTAGGAAGTGGACAAACATAAACAAAGACCCAGATACTGAAACGATATCACATATCACTAAGTGACAGTAAATATGCCACTGCTGCCAACTACCTATAGCTACTGTAGTTCTTCACACACGCACACGCACACACACACACACACACACACACACACACACCACACACACACACACACGTGAAGAAGGTCAAACTTCCCTTCTGGATGCCACTTTCCCCCACCCACTACTGTAATGCCATAATGTCAGCATTATTTGCATGGCTGCTACAGCCATAAATGTAGCTGGAGCCATATTTGTAGCTACACGGTGATTGCAAAATAGGAAGTGGACGGAAGGTTTGGGTCGGGGAATAAACTTACTACCAACAGTTACCTACAGTTGGGCTATATACTTGAAGGTTTGCTGATATGAAGCTCTAAAGATGCACAAATCCCCTATCATAGTCTCATACCTTGTTACTTCATACTTCATTAAAGACTAAGTTTTGAGTCACGAAATATGTTGTTGGTTTCCAAATGCATAGTACGTCATGATAAAAAAGAACATAGGTTACCAGCAATGAAAAATGCTGATCAGCAGATTTCGTGACTCAAAGCTTGAAGAATCAACCGTCACATGTCTCACATGCTAGTATTGTCTATGCATAAATGTCATTCCCGCATTGTAGAATAATTATATCCCACTTAGTGTCTTTTTAAAAGTTTGTTTTAAGCTTGCATTGAGAGTATTATATTAACCGGGGACCCACTGTAACATGCCCATCCCTGTACTAAGTAAACAGACAAAACTGCATGAAATTCACTACGGCAAGCTAGCGTGTGTTTGTTCGCGATGACACAAGTCATTGTGAGAGTGTCAAATAAACAGTGAAACCTTGAGGGAGAAAACTTCTGTTTATTTCGATGCCCGAACCCCAATCCATGTAACCGTAGTACTTCCCCGCATCACATATGTATGTATGTATGTATGTATGTATGTGTGTATAAACATGGAGAATTGAAAGTTCCTCGTGTGATGCATCTCTCTATATCCCCCCATACAAGGTGGTATGGCTGCTGTTGTGGAGGGGATGCTGTAGAGCACAAGATTGCAAAATAGGAAGTGAAGCGAAGCCGGGTCAGTAATACAACAAAGACGCATTAGCTCATGTGATATCAAATCTCACTAGGTGAAAGTTGAAGCTTTATGCTACCTATCAGTAAATTCCAGTAAGCTTACACATTATGCATTATGCACCCTACAAGTATACATTGGATTAGAAGCAATAATAATGCTACCTATTAGTACCGGTAAAATGAAGCAATGTAGGTTGAAGCAATAATGCTACACCAGTAAATTGAAGCATGATGTAAGTAAAGCAATGTATACCAGTAAGTTGCAAGTTCATATTGTATCACCATGATTAATGTAGGGTCCTTCCCCATAGTGTATAATGTGCCGCAGTCTTGCTCAATTAGCTGGGTAAGTTATATATAGCACCGCGTGTGTTGTACGTATGTACATACATCCACACATGGCCTTAAAATCTTACTGAATGTAGCAGCATTTTAAACACATTATTAATGGCATTGGTGTTACATAGAACCCCCCCGAATTGACCCATAAATAAATGTGTGTGTTTATCTGCAGAGTGTTAAGTAATAGGATGGTATATACACACTACCAACATGGACGTGACTGACGCGCCTGTTGCTGAAGACCTTTGCTCTCTCTACTGCCCACTAGTCATCATGTACGTACCGCTGCTGCAATACCGTTCAACACGTGGAGCAAAGCTAACACAATGACAGAGAGAGGGTTTAGCGCTAGAGCAAACGAAGAGTGGACGCAAGTGAACGATTTCAGAAGTTTCACGAGTACTTAGAATTCTGTGCAACATTATGGTGTGGTGGACAGCACCATACATGTATGTAGAATTCAAAACAGATGACTAGGTGGGCTCTCACTTCGCTCACCAATAACAAAAAATTTCACAAAAATACTTACAAATTTTCATGACAGGTAGAGAAGTGCAGGTGAAGGCCATCAGGTGCTGTACACTAGACATGTATACATAGTATGTATGATGTGTAAGTACCGTCGCAATAGATGTCAATAGAATGAAGAGGTTTTGGACGCGAGAGTGATTCTGAGATGTGTCCCTCAGCCCTAACTATCGACGTCAGAGTCAGAATCCTCGCCATACGAGACTAGTGGACCGGAGGGTTTAGGTTTGGGGGGAGGGGGAGGAGGGGGAGGAGAGGAGGAGGGAGGGGGTGAGCGAGGGGAAGGAGGACTATCATTGGTGGTGGGGCGGAGGAGGAGGCTGGGGTGACTCAGAGGGTTTTGTCTGACCATCTGTAGAGGGTGGAAACAGGCACGAGTGAGATACTCTAACTTTTATGCCAGGCATCCACACGAAACTGCAGTGAGATATACAGAACCCCCGCCTGTCCAATGTAATACAATGCTAGTAGTGCTAACTAGGCAATTTTACCATACCATGTACCTACGCAACCCAGTGAAATGTATAGCAGTTTACTTTGGGAGGGTCAAATTAATCCTTGTTGGCCAAATTTCACGCTCGAACAGCACTCAATGCCGAGCCATTAAGACGACAATGCACGACAGTTTAAGAAAATGTGAACCCATAATTGCTTAATAGACTGGTTACTAGATCTCTCTTGCCTCCATCTTCCCGAGGAATGCACAGGAATGCACACCCCATCAGTCACCTCTTCCAACTGACAACATCGCAAATGCTTAACGTGCGCGGTACCACCCGGGGCCTGTCACTGAAAATCATTTCTATGGTCATTAGGCATCCACTCCCTCCACGGGATAGGGGATGGGGGTTGTTAACAGTGGACACACGATACTGTCAGAACAAGGTCAGAAATCAATGAATGATGTTATTGCAGCCGTCCGCTATGTAAAGAGGTGATCATTGATCGTGAATACAATAGGCAATCAGGAGACCTTAACATGCAGCCCTGAGGGCTAGACTGCAGAGTGTCGTGGGTTCGAATCCCACCCAGGGCAGCTCTTCTTCAGAAAGAGCTGTCCTGGGTGTAGTTGACTTGTTTGCCTTGCCTTGCTACCTTGCTACCAAGTTGTTGAGACATGCAGCCCTGAACCACAGCTGCCATACTTTATTCAACAGTTCACAATACAATGTATGAGATACTGTATAAAAACAGGTTTTACATTGATTGTAGTGGTACAAATACCACACAAAACTTCACAGATAAAAATATTCACGGAGAGCCGTCAAATTTTCTTCCTGGTAAACATTAATCTCAGGAGCACTACTGAACTACATCAAGTATCTATAACTCACCAGAGGAGGTAGCAGCTGTAGCGACACGTGGAGGAAGAAATGAGGGTGGAGGCATGGACAGGTACACCAGTAGCCTCAGATTTCTTCTCCGTGGGAGCTGGAGGAGGAGGAGGAGGCACCAGTTTCGATACGTCTTCCGAGGTGGCATCTTTTGCCAGTGTCGTCTCTTCTCCCTGTGTTGCTGGTTCAATCGGTTCTCTGGTGGTCTCCCCCTGGTCGACAGTGGTCCGAGTTTGGTCCTGTGTAGCGGTCGGTGGTGGTTCTCTTTCGGTGTTGCCGGTCCCCTCTTGGTTTGGTGTTGGTCCCTCGGCGAACCGTCGCAGCTGAGGGGGTTCCTGGAGCTTGGCCCAGTAGGGAGAACTGTCAGTGCTGCTCAAACCATTTGCACTATTTGCCTGGAGGAAAACATCATACACACACTGTCTCCACCACTTCGGGGAGGGGGCAAATCATTAGGGGTACAAGGTAACCCCGACGATGCTGCTCTCACTGATTTGAGCCACAGTTCGGGGAAAGAGATTTTCAGGGGCGGGGGCAAATTACCCCTCATCCTCCCTCGAAAAAGCTTCTGTCACTGCTTCCTTCCCTTAACAATACTTCACTAAACTCTAGTATTACCAATCGCTCATTCTTTCATTCTCTAAGGCCAAAAATATCCCTCTCTATTCCCCAAAGAACGAAACATTACGTAACACTCGCTCGTTCTACAATCATGTGAAAGGCCCAATTTTAAACTTGCAATAATTAAGGTTTCTACAGACACTAATAGGAGGACCCACTGCATGCTTTGACTGGGCTAATTTTTCAGAACGTTGGGGAACCCGACAGGAGAGAAGTGGGGAAAGTGTTTATCAGGTGATAATTGCAACCCTCTGTGGTCACCTACTGCTGTATATAGCATGGTGGAATAGTGGGTCCAAGAATGCTGCCCATGCAGTGTCTAATGTGACAAGAATCTCCTACCAACAACCCCCTCACCATTGTACACAGCCTCAGTCACACACAACCCACCGGGAGATACTGCATATGTACAACTAAGTATATACCATGCCCATCCCTATACACCAAGTACTAGTGGGCACGTAAAACATGTAGAAATTTTGTAAAAATAATAATGGTAAAGTTGGAGGCTCTGTATTTAGTGTACGAAGTAGTTCAATATCGTCATTGGCCTATGATTAGCACGCTTGCTTTGACTTGCTAATCCTCTCTCCCTCTCCCTCTCCCTCTCTCCCTCTCTCTCCCTCTTTCCATCCTTCTTCTCGAGGGATAAATGTCTACCCCGCGTTCTCTATTCGTATACAATACTTAAAAGTGCTCACTGTTTCAGTAAATCTTCTCTTAGTGGGTGGATTGGGCTGAACAACTGGACCACTGCTACCGGTGACCTCTTCAATCTTCCTGCAATACACACAATTCAGTATACAGACTAAATGAAGTGATGTAGGCTATTTCAGGTGTCTAGTCTTTACTACATTGTGATCTGGACAAGCTGGGGATATCAAAATGTCTCTTTATACAGAGGCATATTGGAAATTTAAACAATCTTAGCACAGAAACAAGTTTTATTTATAGAGAGGTGTGCTATATTTAGAGTGTCAGGTTCAATGTGTTTGGATTAATATGGAGTCAGCTCTGATCTCTTGAAAGTGCCCTAATCACAATACTGCACTGTGCTGTTAACCCTTTGGATGCCTGTGTATCTCCTTAAATAAGCAGAAATTGATGTATAACATATAAACGCCTAGTATTATAGCCATATATAAATTCTTATGGACTATGGAGGCTCTGGGCATATATATATATATATATATGTAATATGCCCGTGGCTTGCTAAGGGTTAATGAGGCAAAGGCTCCGTGGTGTAAAAAAGGGAGTACCAACCAAACCAACCTATACTACTTCACACTGCCCGCCAAAACAGTTACGTAATCAAAAAGGAATTTTAAGACCACGGTGAGTCGGTCAAAGGAAAGGTTGATTCATGTGTAGCTGTGAGGCTTCCCTGGGATAATTGGACTGATTATCTGGAGACCAGCGCCACGTGTTGGGGGAAGGGTGGGACGGACGACAGAAAACCTCGAGAAAGGGAAAGAGTACGCATGTAGTTGAGAAATGGAGTAAGTGGGAGAAGAAAAGAGGGACAGGGGCGACCACTGTGTAGATGTAATTCTTAAAATTAGTAGATTTTCCCCCACTTTTTCGAGTTTCAGTTATGTTGAACCTAGATTCAGCGGCTTTCTCTGATGTCTACGACGTTTCTGTTTTTAGTAACATTTTCTAAATTTAGCCCCACATATTATAGCGCCACATTCCCTTTAAGTTGTCTGCTGCCATAAGTGTGTTCAGAGAATGTACATACATGTAGATGGAACTGCAGTGTGTGGTTGCTAGGACACGAAGCGTGCTCCTAACGAGGAAGGAATGAAAACCAGCTGGAATATGACACCAGTCTGAGGCTGTCTGAGTCTCCCGAGAGACTTCACACTAAAATTGATTATCGAGACATCCATCAATCAATTTTTAATTCCTTACAAACATTCAACCCTCCAGTACAATACACAGCAAGCGCCATTTTACACATACTATGTTCAGCATCTCTGTACATTATTCTCCCATCATGCATGAAGTGTAAATCGTAATACACAATTGTGAAATAGACTAATACACCAATTGATTGCATATTTTGCCATCGAAGTGTGAACCAGCCTGTGTGTACAAGGTGACCTTTGTGAACTGTTTGCATAATCTTCGTACCGAAACAATTCCCTTTGCGACGACAGTGTCATTCTAAAATGGCGCTACCCAAATAGCTATAGAAGTGGTGGGTCACCTTCAGTTATGGGCACACGTCTAGCGAGAAACTTTGAAAAATTTCGTGAAAGCTGTGGTTTATTAGGTATCTTTTCCCATGATATTGGAGACATTGAGACATAAATGCCAAAAATTGTCTCCCTCGAACGTTTCCCACCGCATGGTAGCTATATATGGCGGACTAGTTTTCACAGCTATAAAATGAATATCAAGGCCTCGTTCGGTGAGAGAGAGAGAGAGGAGGCGGGCCTCAGGCATGTAGAGTATGCCATCCCATGTACAGGTATTGTAAGACACAAGGCCCGGATGAGATGGGGGAGGAACGATAACTGCTGGAATTACAGCAGCCCAGCGGCCATAATTACCATATTTTCATACTTTTTAGGAGACTGTGAGTCTGTTTTGGCTTACTTATGTAGATATCACGTCACTATCGACACTGATATATTTCCCACACCGTTTCAATCCACATTGTGACACTATGGAATACATATCTTGCACGTGTACATTAACGTGTTAAGGTACGCAGGCGATAGTTGCATTAGATAGAGCGCGAGCTGCTAAAAAATTAGATTAGCATTCTGCAGGTCGTGAATATCGTTGGAGAGTTAACGAGCTTAAAACCCAATTCGATCAATTACAATTCACCAGAGGAATATGTGCTGGGAAATACGGAAGGGGAGCGCATGGGGTGGGAGGATGAGGAGGGAGAGAGAAAGAGGAGGAAAAGATGTTCTAGGAACTAGCATTTTACGGAAAATATGCTACGCAGGGCCCGCCTATCCAACGCATTAGTTCCTACTGCAAGTCTGTATATACATATGTGTGACTATTTAGTAGAGTGTCTTACGTATTAGGGGGATGGTAGGAAGTGTTTTGTTCAGGAGTATTGACCTCAGGAGGTAGAGGGATCTGGTGAGGCGGAGGCTGAGGGGGAGAGAGAGGAGAAAGAAAAAACTTTAATACGAGGTGCCGTGTAGTCTTCGTATCGCAAAAGTGCAAAGAGAGGAGGGAATGCATATTGCAATGTTGTGCTCTATGACCATTAGAGGCAGCTCATATTCGATTTGGACACAACATATACTCGACCACTTTAAAGGCAACCAACACAAACGATCGTATGGTAAGAACTACGCCGCTCTAAGTACAGACACAAACGGTATCTTGGACTTCAGTTTGCCTTATAAGTCATTGGGAGCGTAACGATATTATGTAATTGCCAGTAAATGTGTATAATTATACATAATGTACTTGTTTGGCATTGTACTCCTCTTTTTTCATATATAAAATTGCTATATTATTATAATTAGCTCACAGGTTGATGGTAAGGGGGTCCAGGTGGTTGAAATTCAGCTGGTGGTGGGGGTCTGAACCCCCCGGGATGTGGAGGGCCATATGGCCCGGCAGGAGGCTGTACTGGGGGACCGGGGTAAAAACTGCACCCCGGAGGTGGCAGTGGGTAGGCCCCTGGGGGAGGGGGTCCAAAATTAGGTCCCACAGCGGAGGGGAGCATTGGAACAAACGTTGGCTGGGGGTAAGCTCCGTGCTGCTGGTAGGGATTGCTGAACTGTGGTCTGTGATCTGTGACAACAGATTATATGTGTGAGAGTCAGTGCAGCACACTGTCATGATCAGCAAAATACAATGTATTCGTCCTCGTTGTGGTTGCACAACTTTCACCCCACCCCTCAAACGTTTTCATACTGCCTGGCTTCTGTTGAATGAGCTGCTCAAAGTCTCGAGTCATGTGTGCTACAGTAGCAGCATCAGTTGTGAGGGTATCTGGCCCACTAACTGACAAATATTGTACCGTAGACATTAATGTCGGAGGTCAATATCACCCCGGGACACTGCTTGATTCCTCAGGGCTTCTTAAACCTCCCTTCCCATCTCTCTCTCACCCTCACTTCCGCCCCTCTCATTCCTCCCACCTTAACCCTTTGGATGCCATGGGTATCTCCTAGACATTGATATTAACGCCTAGTATTATAGCCATACATATAAATTCTTATGGACTTATGGAGGCTCTGGGCGGCTCTGGGCATATATATATATATATATGCCCGTGGCTGGCTAAGGGTTAATTCACATCATCAGTGAGAAAGTCACAGTGTTCTCACATTGAGGGGCTTGCCCGCCAAACCCAAGAGGCTGCTGACTTCTCTTCCACATCTCGAAATCCTTCTGAACCGTCTGAATGAGGCTCTCACACAGCTTCCTGGCCGCTGTCAGCCCCTCCTGGTTGCTGTGACTGTGGAACGCCATTATTATCGTGAGAGGACGGAGGAGGAAGAGAGAATCAAGGGGTCACCACCATAACGTGAGAAACTTTTGAGTCTGAACAAAAATACTGTTTTCACTGATTCAATGCAACCACTCACATTATTTTACAGGTCATTCAAAGCTGAATTTCTTCTAAAATGTCCTAAGATTGTGAGCTACATGTATAAGTATGATAGGAGAATGATCTCCTCCTTCTCAAAAACGACATAGTAACCAGATGTGCAAGGCTACATTAATGAAAAATACCAAGGAAGTGAACAAGATAATGGAGGACTATAGAATCACAGATGAGGAAGAGGATGGATTAATGAGCGTCCACATATGGCAGAAACGTCCTTAAAAGGAAATGCTCAACTTCCTATAGGTGTCGTGTGTGTGCGTCTACATCCACTGAAATGGCATTCCAGCACACCGTGCAAGGGTAGATGGCTTATTAATTGTCTATGATTAGTCAAGTGCAGCAGCTCTAAAGTCTCTAAAGGCTATGGGGTATTTCCAGTCATTTACTTATTTACCTGAAGCAAAACTACTTAGAATCCTTTCTATTTAACAATTACATACGAGGTCAGGATTTTATTGATTACGTCACAATGACATCACCATTGAGTTGCTAAGGGGAGAGTGAGCTAACAAACAAACAGCCCACGAAACTGTAGGTGGAGGAGCATGCACAACAACAATCGTTACACAAACTTGGATAATGTGATGACATCATAACGATGTAATGAGGTTTCTCACCTAATATAGAGATACATGGCTTCGAAGGACTCTCGACCTGAAGTAGGTTCGAGAAACCCGGAGCCCCGCCCCCTCAGGTAGACCTTTGAACCCGTCTGCGAGGCGATGTGGCCGAGGAAGCTACCGCCAATTCCCTCGATCCTCGACTTGGCTTTGAACTCCTCCGGAGCCTTCTCCATACCCACAAACACCTTGTCCTGGATGTAGTGAGGCTGGGGGGG